CTTGAGATTCTTTCCAATGATCATCCTGTCCTCGAAAGAAATGACTTCCGGCCATGGATGAAGTAGACAGATTTTACGAGAGTGATTGAAAAACTTTTAAGATATTTTTCACTCTTTTTTTTTTTTAGATGTTTTAAATTATTATACGCCATATTAACTTATTTTTTCGATATTAATACATATACAGTTAAATTTAATGAGAATTAATTTAGCGGATATTTATTAATTTTTAGATTTTTTCTAACAAATAAATTAAGGCAAAATGAATGAGAAAAAAAAATTAACATGTAGAAATTTTAATAAATTATAAGTGCAATTTTTTAAAAATAATTTTTCAGGAAAGATTTATTTGTTAAATAAAATTAAAAAATTATCAAGTTACTGCTAACTTTAATGTCATTTAAATTTATTTATTTAATATGAAAATGAAGTTAGCCGACATCTAAAAATTTTTATGATTTTTTTTATTTTTAAGAATTATTACAAAAAAAAATTTTTTCATTTGTTAAAAACTTCAAAAACTACAAGTGCAATTTTTAAAAAATATTTTTTTAATTATAATTTAATAAATTGAATAAAATAAAAAAATCAAAAATGTCGGCTAACTTTATTATTATTTATTTAATATATTTTTTTGTTTATTTAGAAATTTTTCTATTGATTTTCACTTATTTTCCCGTAAAATTAAATTTATTATTTTGTAAAAAGTATTAAATGAGGAGAATATTCAACAGCAATGGATATTTTTACTGCACTATAAAAAGTTGTTACCATTGGAAAATGGCGTGGTGTGTATTTCAATTTTAAGGTTATATCCAGAGTCTTAGCTAAGATATTTTAAAATTTTTATTTATCACCTCAAAATATTTAAAAATAGTATTTAAAATTTTTAAATTAAATAAAAAATCAAAGGCTTTTGATTTTTTATTCGAAATAAAAGAAAAATGCGCAATAATTGTTTTATTTTAATTCTCTGAATCAGAGATGCGTCAAATACCGCCATTTGACAAACTATGAATCACTAATAGTATAAATTAAAAAAAAAAATAAAATAAGTTACCTGTGACTGACTGCGAAATATTGAAATCCATGTAAAAAAAATCCGTGAATCTAGTGCGTGTCAATAGCGCATTTAACTTGTCAAACAAACATCACTTTCAATGAACACTCAAAAAAAATAATATCAACTCATTTCCACAAAAAACACAAATAAAATATAAATAGATATTTTTTTTTGTATGATAATAAATAGATATATAAATATATATTGAAAAAACACGACAATTACACAAAATAAGGGATATGACTATTGGAAAGGGACGAGGATATGACACTTGTGAAATTTATCACAACTTGTATTCTCACACGTGGAAATCACCTGGGCACTGTTTTTAGAAGATTAAACGTCGGCTATCCCTTGAATTTCCGTCATAACTTTTTAAATTAATCAGTTTTTACACACAAACCTCTCTGTACATGTCTTAAAAATAAAAACACACGACTTAAATCTCTCAATCGTTTTCACAATTATACTCAGACTTTAAACTCACTTATTCACTTTAATAAAAAAAAAAAAAAAAATTTCACTCTTCCAACGGGTGCACATTCGACAGAGCAAAAAAGACACAAACCCACTCTTCTATTTTGGTAATTTAAACATAAATAATAAATAAACTTTTTTAAATTACCACACAAAATAATACGAAAAAATCCACTGTACTAACTATGAAAAAAAATAGAAAAAAAAAAGAACTAATAATCATAAATAAATAAATAACAATTTGAGTACATAAAAAATGAACATTTGTTGATAGAGATTATGTCGTGTTAAGTCGTGAGTTTCAACTGAATCAGGTTATGGCCATCTAGACACTACCACGAGCATGCTCTTATGCGTGCGGCTTGACAACGATCACGTGGTACACAGCAGTCGCGTCCCTGTTTCTTCAATTTCCACCACTTTGGCTTAAACTTACTTCTTCCTTTCACCGCTTCACCCTCAATCTCACCATTAACCAAAATCAAACTTCACATATAATAGATCAGTACATTTAAGTATTATTCTTTCCATAAATCTGGTCTTCCATTTTTATCTTCTTTTCAAATGTTTTCTTCCGAATAATAATAATTAATCCAGCGTTAATAACAATAACAATAAAAACAATATTATTGACAGCGTTGATAATATTTATAAAATAATAATTGTAAGCTTCAATAAGATGATAATAAATGAGGATAATTTGCGTCGCTACGCACCACCAAGTCACCTTACACCCCCGCGGCGGTGCTGCATTGAACTCGCCCGCCAAAGGGTCAAAAGCACCGCGGCAAAATAATAACAAAACTATACTAACAAAATATTATTAAGTTTTGTTTAAATACTCGTTAAACTTTTAAGCTTAAATTAAATATCACTCACTTTTCACTTACTTCCTTATTTATACACACATAAATATATACACCTATATAAATATATGTGTAATAACTTTTGCTCTCTAATCCTTAGCCTCGTTTTCAAAATTCAATTGATTTTGTTGTAAATTATCAACTTTTATTCTTCCAGCTCAACTTGATTACTTTGGCAGATCAATTCTTTTCTTCTTGACAATTAAAAACGAAAATTAAATGAAATATCAATTAAATTATACATAAATAATTCGTTTTTTTTTTTTAGACGTGCTTGGCGGGTTTTCTTAGCTGCACTTACTACTGTTGCTTGGTTGGTGTTATTGTGCTAGGTGCATATGCACATATTTTTGTATATAAATATATATGTATATATTGTACATATAAATATACACACACTATTTAATGTATATATAAATATAATAATATTTTATACACACTTGGGGGCTCTCTCGTCGTGCATTCACCTCGGTATACCGCGTCGCCGACACGGTCCGACGAACTTCCCTCGCACCACACCAATGCGCGGAATCACACAATGTCGTCACTATTTGATTTGATACTCACTTATTGTTGTTGTTATTGTTATTATTATTATCATTATTATTATTATTATTATTATTATTATAACTATTTTTTATATCCTATATAAACTTTGTTAATATTTATTAAAAATATTATTAATATATAAAGTCACTAGTAACAACTACTGTTTATTATTGTTAGTTTATTATTTAACCGAGTTTATTAACGTGAGGATAAAAAAATGCCACGAGAGCCCACGAAACACGAGGAACTGCACGCCCTTACCGCGGGGGCATACCGCATCGCTTTCTCGGGCAAACATGGAGCTAGAATCTATGCTGTTTATAGTTCACCTATTTCACACATACCCTCTAACTGGCGCTGATCACCGTATTTTATGATACAGTACTAACAACTTTTAAGTGGTTCGCTTGACGACAAGAATTTTATTTTATTTTTCATTTTTTATACAGATATATGTCATTACTTATTATTTTTTTTTAGGGTTTTATTTTTTTTATCAAAATACATTTTTTTATGCATTTATTTTATTAACATTGATCATCGGTTTAAGTTGTTAAATGATTTAATTTTTATAATAAATTCAATATTTTTCATAAGAACAAGGCTACCAATTTTTCAATCTTGTGCGCATGCGTCATTTTCAAACGCGGAATTTTTAAATATTATTTCATCAGTATTTTTTATTTTTTTTTTTTTTTTTTACTGAATTGCTTTCTCTTACCTTCAGATCACTAAGTTGATTTAAAGAATAAAAAAAGATGTAAATATTAAATTTTAATATTGCTTTTAAAAATTGTCAAAAAAATTATTCAATATTTTAGGATTTGATTTGATCTAAAAAAAACAATATGCCTAAATAAAATTTTTTTTTTTCAAAATGCATGTATGTAATTTTATATATGTATACTTATTTGATACTGATGATTAAAAAACATAATTACAATAATTACTAGCAAAAATACGCTAAATAAATAAAAAAAACACATGAAGGTTTAATGTGAAAATAACATTAGTAGGTCATAGAAATATTTTCCTACTTTATTTATTTTTTTTTTTTTTTTTATTACATTTCATATTTTTCAGGTAAAAAAGTGCACAAGGACAAAAATAGGCTGCGATAAAATAAAAAAAAAAAAAAATTAGATCATTTCGATAATTAAGTATAGTACATTTAAATGAATACATACTTAATTGGGTTTGATTATTTTGTTTCTTATTGACTTTATTTTATTTATTTATAAGAAAACAGTAATAAACTAATAAAAAAGTTTTCATTGATCTGTAATTATAAGGAAAAATATAAACTAAAAAAATACATCGTAAAAATACTTTTATGCGTCGTAAATATAAAGAAAGAAGAAAAAAAAGTAAAACGCAATATCCAATGAAATGCGTCAAATTGTAGCATATTATTTTTCAACATACGTCAGCTTTTTAGCCAAATTCACGTGACGTAAATATAAACGTCAGTGTCTCCAGTCCACTGACAACATCAAAATTGTGACTCTATTCTAATATATTTTTATCTTTTTGTTTTCAGCAAAAAAATATACTTAGCTGAAATAATGGATAAAATTTTTGAATTATACACTCTTTTTATCATAATATTATAATATATACATATACATAATAGTTATATGTAGAGTTATATTGCTCTACAATCCACCTTTGGTTATTATTTTTCAATGTATGTATAGTATATATATTTATCAATGAGATAAGACAGTTACTTAAATAGTTGATTAAATTATAAACCAATCGGTATAGTAGTTCAATCATTAATTGTTATCATAAAGTAATATTACTACATGTGATTAGCATATTACCACATCTTGATGAATAATTAAAACTAGAAAAAGAAGTCCACAGTATAGCCATGAATAATAGTTAGATTAATTTTTTCTATTTTACAGCAAACACTATACTAGTTTGTTCCAATAATTAACAAACAATCGATAAGGTATTGTTTGACATAAATGACCGGATAAATTTAATGAAAAATCTAACAATAGTTGATGGTAAAATAAAAAATAATAATTATTAATTTAATATTTTCCACGATAGCTACTACTGCCTCCGCCACCTCGTCCCCGAAATGATCTACCACTTGAATGTTTGCCTCGTGCTGATCTTGATTTATGAACAGGTGGATTCTGTCCAAATGATTTACTATTGCGTCCCCGCCAATTGGGATCATGTGAAAATGGCTCTTGTTCTAAAATTTCAACATCATCATGATCATCAAGCATAATGGGACTTGGTTCACGGCTGCGTTCATTTCTATTCTCATGATAAGAATCTTGTCGAAAGTCCGGAGAAAAATGACGTTCACGTGGTGAAAAACTCCGATGATTTCGACCACGAGTTGACGAATAACTATCAGTATGACGTATTGGTGATTGAATTCGATGGATGTATTCTCTGGAATCGTGATCCTGGTGCGACAAGCGACTGGGGCTAGACAACATAATACGATCATCTTGGTCTTGTGATGATGGCGAAACACCACGATTCCATCTCTTCTGTGATGAATTACTCAAGCTCCATCGTAAGTCATTAACTTCTCGTGGCTTTGAATTATAATCATATGATTCACGTACATTCCAATCCAAACGTTCCATGATTGGTATTTTTTCTTCACGCGGTGGTGGTGGTGGTGGTGGTTCACTGATATGTACTTGTACACCAAAATCAATCGTTTCAATTTCCGTCTGTGTATATTGATCATTAAACTCTTTTACGTCTGTTTGACAATATTTTTGATGGACCTCCACAGACGGTTTTATTTCCTCTAGTACTTTTGCTTTAACATCGTACCACAATTTTTTGCTTGAATGTTTTTGTAACAAAACAGAATTTGATTCGAGTTCGGATGATTCAGTTAGTGGTTCATCCTTGCTTGAATCGAAGAAGAAACGACCTTTGATTTTTAAACGTGGATCTTCGTCGGGTAAATCACGCAAGGCCAGCTCACAATGACGTAAAATTTCAGGTTTGAATCCTGTGGCCCAAAATAAAAAAATTAATTTCGAATTCTTTTATAATATATCATATTTATTATTCTTTTGATGTATTTTTATATTTCACGTTGATTTTAGATCAAAGATATTATATTCATGATGAATAATCATCGTTGATCACCAGTATTAATTAATCACTTGGCAGGCATTTTAATTTTCACTGATCACTTTATATTTTAATTAATTACAGTCTAAAAATTAATTTTAAAATCTCACCTGGATATAGGACTGGATGACCGGTATCTGGTGGATAAAAAAAAATTAATAATAAAACTTTATGTCAGAATGTTAGAATAAAAAAAAAAATAAAAAAAAAATTAGAAAAACGGTTGACCCTAAAGGTCATTCCTGCAACTTCCCGCTAATTCCATACTTGAGCGCTTAAAATTGCACTTATTACGTTTTTGAGCTCTTCGAGCTCAAAAATATTAATTTCGTGTCATTTTGAGCTCTCGGAGCTGAAAAATCTGATAGGAAGTTTAATATAACATTATTTTTTTTAATTTTCAAATCGCAATAACTTTTGAATGAATAAACCGATTTTCACACGGTTCGCAGCATTCGACATAGTTATTTAGGCTTCATTAAAAATCTTTCGGTTTAAATTGATCGAACGAGAAATTTCGAAGTAATTCCGAAATAAAACACTTTTTTCGGTTTTCTTTCGACGATAACTCACGAACGAATCAACCGATTTTGACCGGGCTGGAGGGGATCAACGTGGTTTTTTGATATTAAGAGCTGTTTAGTTTTTGGAATCGATCGGTAGGACCTTAAAACGTCGAGATCTGATGAGAACTCGATCTTCGAAAAACGGGGAAAAACCAAAAACTTCCCGATTTTTGAAAATTTTTAATTTTCTTAGCGGGAAGTTAAAAAAGAAAACAAGTAAATGTACATTAATTATTTAAAACAGAATATAAAATTATTAAAATTAAAATCGTACCTTTCGCAGACACCGAGGCTTCCAACAGACTGGACAAACTGGTCTTTTCAAACTGCTGTAATTTTTAATGAAAGTTATAAAGTATAATTGATTTTATTTTAATGAAAGTACCGTCTAATTATCTTTAATAAAATATAAAGGCGATTAAAAGTATGATACTTAAACATTACTTTTGATTTGGAGATGACAGGTGGCTCAGGTGTCTTCAAACGGTCTCGACGCGATGAAGAGTGTCCTCCAGTATAGGCTGAAGAGTGTTCTGAATATACATGATGTCCTGAGTCAATTCGTTCAGGTTGGGGTGAAGGTGATGCTCGCATCGGTGTTGATACTTGTTGATGAAATAACATTGATTGATCCATTGGTGGTGCCGGTACTGGTTGAGGTGACCGCGATATAACTGGTACAAATGCTGAACGAGAAGGAGTATTGTGAATTGGAACGGGGTTGGATTGATTGTACATCACAGCAGGAGCTGTGTAATCAGGTTGGGAAATAGAATGCATAGGCAATTGTTCAAAATTCATGGAAGATCCAGCAGGGGCCACATTATCGTATGGAATGTACGAAGGATTCATCGGTGGAAGAGATTCTTGCATTGCCATGTAGTGTTGAGGTGGTCCAGAAATTTGGGGATGTCCTTGTCCCGGTCCTGGTCCTGGTCCTAACAAAGATTGCTGCTGCTGTTGCTGAGATTGAATTCCTCTTAAAGGCGGATGTATGTATCCCTGATTAATTGATTCCGGGTTCACGATAGGAGTATCTCTAAACTGCCGAGCTAACGCTTCAATAAATGGCGTACGTTTTCTACGATGCTCAGGTGATTTACTCATAGATCGACGTCTTGGGCTGTTTCGTCTTCCTCCTGGTGATCGGCTCCAGCGTCGACGAAAACGATCTTGACTGCGACTTCGTTGACGATCTCGGGATCTACTTCGTCTGCCTACCATCCTTACGTCACTGTGAAATTATTCTAATGCTAATATCTAGTACTTTTTAATAAATACAATAATACGATACAAAAATACTATAAAGTAAATTTAATATTAATTTAATTAAAATAGAAAATAATATGGCTGTGTTACAGGTCTACTCACAGCTATCAACGACTTCTGCAATCAGTTACATTTTTATTCAAAATCATGTTCATTCATTCACAAGTTTATTCAATCAAATCTTTACTCTGATTCAACTTTACTCAATAATACTAGCTTTCAGGTAGAACTTTAATCAGTTACAACCTTACTCAAATTCGACAGTAGTCAATTACAACTTTGCTCAGTTTCAATTGTATTCATTTTCAAGTCTATTCACTGAATTTTTAACTCAGTTACATCTCTATTCATTAAGAATTTATTCACTTACATTTGTAATCATTTAAAACTGTACTCAAGTTCATCTCTACTCACGAATTTTTACATTATCAATTAACCATAAATTTGTGAGTAGCGATGAACGTGAGTACAGTTGTAAATGATTACAAATGTAAGTGAATAAATTCTTTGTGAATAGAGATGTAACTGAATTAAAAATTCAGTGGTTAACAATTAAAGTTCTACCTGAAAGCAAGTAATATTGAGTAAAGTTGAATCAGAGTAAAGATTTCATTGAATAAAGTTGTGACTGAATGAGTATGATTTCAAATAAAAATGTAATTGAGTGGAGATGTCGTTGATAACTGTGAGTAGAGATTTTATGAGTAGACCTGTAACACAGCCAATAATATATAATCACATTTCTTACCGCTCATCCAAACGTCGACGTCCACGATCAAGGCTTGATCGCCTATCACGTCTATCACGTTCCGAACTGCCGTGATGTTCCCAACTCGGTCTTCTGTGACGATCGATACTTCTTCGTGAATTACCACCCAAAGGAGTTCTTGATCTACGCGGAGGACTTAATTTATTCCTGTCGTGGCTTCTTCGTCGTGGTGGACTAAGTCGATGTCGATCCAAACTACGACGACGATCTCTGCTCCTATGAGATCGTTGTTCACGATCATGCTCCCGATCACGTTCTCGGTCCATTTGCTTCTCATTCTCGATGGTTTCGACTTCAGTTCCTGGAGGTACTACAGTCCCTGAATCCAGTAAGTGCTTTATAGCCTTCTCCTTTTCCGCAAGTATTTTACTTTCATTAACTCTCTTCGCGCGAATCTTGTCTCGTTCGATGTCTTGAGAACTCTTCGATGGATCACGTCTATCTTCACGTCTTCTTTCGTCGCGCTTTCCTCGGTCCCGGTCCCGGTCCCGGTCCCGATCCCGGTCCCGGTCTCGGTCTCGGTCTCGATTATCCCGAATGTTGCGCCCTGAATCTCGGTAATCTCGACGATTTCGATCCCTAAAATTATTTATCTCACTACTTTACATAATTTATTATCACATATTAATAATTAATACATTAGTTCAAACATAAAGAACATATATGAACAAAAATATTAATTAAAAAAAAAAAAAAAACAAAAAAAAAACAAATTAACGACTTATTTTCATCTATAAATTTTTTTATAGACTAAAAATTGTCATAAAAACTAACTAAATAATTAATTTATAAAATAAAAAAAGTTAAAGCCTATTTTAGTCAAACTTTAACAATATTATTACATTTTTTTAAATAAATAATAATTTTATCAAAAACATAAATTGAATATTACTCTCACGCTTTAAGCATGAGTGTTAACATCAATATTAACAACGTTTAAGCAACTTACAATAAAAAATTAAGAATTATATTTAAATATACATTATTCTACCTAGAGTTTCTTCTATTATCTTTATCTCTGTTGTCTCTGCTATGAAAGTCATCAACAACGTCTTCTTCACCGTCCCAAGCATCAACGACGTTAAGTCCTTCCATAAAATCTTCATCGAGAAATTCATGTAGCTCATCATCAGGCATGTCCTTGAGACCTTCAATGGCCCGTTGAACTTCCTCGTTGGTGTTCCTGGCGAGCCGCATAGTTCTTGACATGTTTTCATTCATACCTTTCCCTCGCGGTCCGTCCTTGTTGTTCCTGCTCATCTTGACCACTTTTGCTGTTACTGATCTTCAAAAATAACTTCGTTGAATTTAGCTGAGTAATAATCTTCAAGTACTGCTTATAAGCCTATTCTGAATCTCTATAATTAAAAAGTTTTTAATTAATATTATCTTTACCTTTGTCCTAATTAATTAGTACGGTGATATGCTAATGATTTATCAAGTTTTCATTTAATATTACTATATATTATTATCTAGTGAAAAATTACAGTCTCTTGTTTGTGTTATAATTTATATAATTATAAATCATGAAATTCACAAACAATCTAAAAAACTGCTTTGAGGTTAATAAAATTTTATTACATGTTATGACTATATCTATATTTATAGATATATACATTTTATCAATATATTTAGGTATATTGCGTTGAGTCTCACTACGAGAAACTTGAAGAATATTAATTATTTACTGACATAATGGTGGATTATTTTTAATTAAATAATTTATCACAAACCACAATTAAAAAATTACTCAATTAATTTTCTCATTTATTTTAAATGTTTTAATAAATAAATCGAAATTAAATAAATCTGACGGTGTTGGAATAAAAATAAATTTATTTTAATTGTTGGTAGCATTGTTGGAGTGAACTTGTAGACACTTGCAATGTATGTGTGAAAATTTATCAATGATATAGATTTATTTAACAATTAACAAACTAGAAGTTTAAAAAATATTTTACTTTGTTTTATAATTCTTTATTTATATTTTATTAAATCTGGTGAGTAATACTTTTTATAGTTACATATTTTTTATATAATTTTATTCTATTATTGATCGTATAGAATTTCCACCGGCTGATAAAAGGTTACAGCTGTTGCCGCAGCGTGTCGCTTTTTATTAAAAAAATTATTTAAATTATCAGTCCAGAGGTTGAATTTAATTTTAATTAAACAAGATATCTTAATAATTAATTATTATTAATGTTAATAATGATAATTAACAATATAAGTCAAGTTCATAATATTTTTATTTATTTTGATGAAAATGAAGGTAGCTGACATTTCAAAATTTTTAGAAATTTTTTATTAAAAAAATTTCAATTAAAAAATTAAAAAAAAAATTGCACATACAAAAAACTTGAATAACTATTAGTGCAATTTTTTAGAAATATTTTTTTTAGTATGAAAATTAAGTTAGCCGACATCTAAAAATTTTTAGAATTTTCTTTTATTGAAAAAATGACGACAAAAAAATAAAAAAAAAAATTTTCATTTGTGAAAAACTTTAAAAACTGTCAGTGCAATTTTAAAAAAATATTTATTTTGCTCTAATTTAATTATTAAAAACGTCGGCTAACTTTAGTATTATCTTTTTAGTTGTAATTTAATTAAAATAAAAATCAAAAATTTTTTAGACGTCTGCTAACTTCAGTGTTATTTATTTTGCAGGAAAAAATGTCAAAGCCAATTGTTTTCGTAACTGGAAATGCTAAAAAATTAGAAGAAATATTAGCAATTTTGGGAAAAAATTTTCCACGAGAAGTTAGAAATCAAAAAATAGATTTGCCAGAATACCAAGGAGAGCCGAGAGACATAAGTATTTCGAAATGTAAAGCTGCAATGGAGGTAGTAAAAGGGCCAGTTATTGTTGAGGATACATGTCTCTGTTTTAACGCAATGAAAGGATTACCCGGGCCATATATTAAGTGGTTCTTGGAGAAATTAGGACCAGAAGGTCTAGTTGACATGCTTACAGCTTGGCAAGACAAAAGTGCAGAGGCCGTTTGTACGTTTGCTTACTCATCTGGAAATCCCGATGATGAGATCATTCTTTTTGAAGGAAAAACTCAAGGAACTATTGTAAGTCCTCGTGGACCACGGGATTTTGGATGGGATCCTATTTTTCAACCTGATGGGTACACTGAAACTTACGCTGAACTTCCTAAAAGTGTTAAAAACGAAATTTCACACCGTAGCAAAGCTCTGGAACAATTAAAGAATTACTTTATGAAAAATGCGTAAAAATAATTATGATAAATTTAGCAGATTTTAAATAATTTTTTTTTACAAATAAATTATGGAAAAAAAACAATATAAAAAATAATTGACATGTAGAAATTAAAAAAAATTAAAAATTCAATTTTTTTAAAATAATTTTTTGGAGCAAATTTCTTTGTTAAAAAAAATTAAAAAATTCTCTAGTGACTGCTAACTTTAATGTTATGTAAAAATAAAAAAATTTTTTTTTTTTACTTATAATTAGTAAAAAAAAACTTTAATTACAGTACAAAATTTCTAATATCAAATTAAATTTACAGCCAATGATAGTATCAAGTTTTCATTCACATAAATATTTTTCTGATGATAAGAAAATTCTTAATTTAGAATGTGATAGTATTTCTTAGAAAGAATGGAAAGAATCTAAACAGTTAAAGGAAACTATAAAAAAAAATGCGCTTTGACAATAAAAAAAAAAAAAAATAGATAACATGAGACTAAACAAACAAATAATTTTCTATTGTATAAAATACACCTTTTATCTATAAATTAAAATGTCATGCCATTTTAATAAAGTAGTAAAAAAAAAATCAAAGACATTTTGTTTAAATTGAAAAAAAAAAAGTTTATTTGTTTTGAGATAATAAAAATATTGCACTTTTGATCTTTCTTAGATAAATAATGGTAATGTATGTATGTTTGAATATATTATTATCAAATATTTAATTATGTACAATCAAATTATTAATATTTTTAAATGTTGTAATATTAAAGTAATGGGGTCATTCCATGTCAAATCGGCCAATAGTTGGAATCGACCCCTTTCAATTTGAAGAAAAAAATTTTTTTATTTTTTTTCCTTTGGCAGAACTCCGTTATATGATAAAAGAAAACTTCTGACCAAAATTCGTCCAAATCGAAAGGGGTCGATTCCAGCTATTGGTCGATTTGACATGGAATGACCCAATGGGAATGTCTGAGTAACACAGACCATTGAACTCACTACTTATAATTACAATAATTTATTAACTTATGTTCATGTGTGCATACGTATAAAAACAATCTTTATATTTATTCTTTATTAATTAATTATTTACTTATAGTTTCTACTCACACGAGTCCATTGATCTTTATAATTAAGTATCATTCAAGATTACTCTCTAACGAAGGCCTTAAATGTCTTTGTTTTTTTTTCAACAATCATATTTTCATTGTCAATAATCATCGAAGAAGATAATAAATTGTTTAAGTATTTTTTCTCAGAATGATGATTAATCTATATAGTAGTGTAAATTTATATATTACCACAAGTTTTCCTTATACTATTTAAATTCATAGAAATAGACAACTAACAAGATATTACTTATGTAATAATATTATTATTTATATGTAGTGCAAAAATCAGAAAGATTATTGTAAATTCTTTTAATTTCTTGAAACCAGTGTCAATAGATAAATAAATAAATATTTTTAATAATGTCAATAAAAAGTTTATTTATTACAATTTAAAAAAATAAAAAACTTTAATAATTTATTTTTAAATAATATAAGACCATAAAAAAATCAAATGGACCGGGTTATCATGACGATTGGAGAAAAGCTTCGTCTCTCGGGTTATCGTAAAGGAAAGATTTATTCTTTTATTAATTTATAACTTTATTTATATATCACTTTATTATTTTTTTTTTTATATATTATTTTTCCTACTCAAATATTTCCTCTCAATACATCATCTGATCTCCCGAGTTCATATATAAAAAGGGGGTACAGTTATTACTCAGCAGCAGTCTTTTACAATGGCTCGTGGCATTAAATTCATTGCCGGTAAGTCTAACGCGAATTTATAGTTAATTTGCCGTTTCAATTATCTCTATCCAAGGTTACTTATTAACCAATTTATCAGTTTAAATTTATTTGTACAATTGAATAATTGTTACGCGCATGTTTGTGTTGATCTAAAATAAAAATTATAAATTATCAATAAAATCACTAATTTTATTTCATTTCTTCTTAGCTCTGCTGGTGTTTATTATAACAATAAATGAAAGTATTCAAGAAAGTATTCCAGGTAAAAATAATTTCTTTTTATAACTAAAATTATTTTTAATTAATTAGTATAATTTTGTTTTAAAAAAATTATTACCGATTTTTACAGGATTATTTCCAAAAGAAAAAACACTCATATATAATTATTATGGTGACGTAAAAGCTGGAATAATTGAACCCGCAGCATATGCTTCTCAGTATTCAATATCAGGAAAATTACACATCACACATGACACCAGTAACCCAAAGTATCAACATTCGTACCTTATTTCTCTTCAAGATGTTAAAACAGGTCTTCACAATGGAAACGCTGCCCATTATGAACCCACTAAAATATTAATGCCAATTTTAGAAGCCGCTAAAGTCATTGAAGAGCCATTTATTGTGGTTTATGATGATTTTGGGCAGGTAAGAAACAAGCAAAAGTTTTTATTTTATAATTTTTATTAAATTTACTATTTTTTTTTTAGGTAGAGGGTGTAAAAATCCCTGAAGAAGAACCCCTGTGGTCTACAAATATCAAGATGGCAATGGCTTCTATGCTTCAACTAGACTTGAAGAATATGAAGATAGATGGTCCCATCAAGCCGCACAGTTTTATCGTCCAGGAGGTAGGTAACAACTGATGGGGTCATTTATTTTTTAATTTAATGTTCTCTTTGGTTGTTACCACCAGAAAAGTATCCATGGTGATTGCTGGACGAGCTATGATGTTCACGCCAAGCTGCCGACAAATGATCAGCAGGACAGTCCAATTGTAGTTACTAAATTTGCATCACCTAAAAATTGTACCAACTACAATGTTCATGTCTTTGATCAAATGGATGCTGAGAGGTGTGATGTACCTAAAGTGGTAATTAAAAAAATTTATTACTCACCTGGTTAGAAAAAAGAATTCAAAACTATTGAAAATATTAATTCCCTATAAGAGAAGAAAAAAAGTATTGAAAATATTCAAAATTACTGATAAGAATTTCAATTTTATTCTTCCAATATTTTTTTTTTTTTTTTTTTCTAAATTTATTATGATAAATATTTAGGCTGCATTTGAAAATTCTCTATCTTTAGATACTTAATTAAGAAATGACCTTGTATCTTGTGAACTATTGACATTTTTAAAGATATAAGCTCATCTCGATGTTACATTTATCAAGACCTTTCATTTGAGTACCCGCATCAATTTTTCATATATTTATATATATTATATATATGTATATATGAAAAATATATCAAAATGCATGTGGGTTCTCAAATGAAAGCTCTTGATGAGTGTAACATCGGGATGAGCTTATATCTTTAAAAATGTCAATAGTTAAGAAAGTGCAGTGCAATTTAGCATGAGTAAGAAACGATCTTGTATCTTGAGAACTATTGACATTTTTTAAGATATAAGCTCATCCCGATGTTACACTCATCAAGACCTTTCATTTGAGTACCCACATCAATTTTTCATATATTTATATATATAAACTATTGACATTTTTAAGATATAAGCTCATCCCGATGTTACACTCATCAAGACCTTTCATTTGAGTACCCACATCAATTTTGATATATTTTTTATATATACATATATATAATATATATAAATATATGATAAATTGATGTGGGTACTCAAATGAAAGGTCTCGATGAGTGTAACATCGGGATGAGCTTATATCTTTAAAAACGTCTATATTTAAGAAAGTACAGAGCAATTTAACATAAGTCATTATTTAATAAAGCAAAAATTTATTTATTTATAGTTCACAAGTCACATAGTGACTGCAAGGTTGCTAGTTAATAATTATTTGTATTATTTAATACAACAAATTGTTTTTGTATTCAGGTACCGATCAATATGGCCGCTCGAAGATTACTTGAGATAAGTTATAAAAATAACAGTATTTTAATTGAAAAACTTATCGCTCATGGAGGTGTAAACTATTTTCCATGGCTAGGAAGATCTGAGGCGCACTATGTATTAAATAAGTAAGTTTTTTTTATTCAAGCATACAATTAATATCAATCATGAGTTATAATAAGCTGATAAATAAATTACTTATTGCTTATTGTTTATTTTTAATTAAAGCGCAAGTTTTATATTGGATAAAGTTGTCACATCTTCAGAAATATCTTTGCCCGAAGTTGACTTTAAAGACATGCCCTTGACAACTGACATCAGTTATCAACGGCCGCAGGGTTATTATGCAGAAAACGCGGCTGTTGACATTACTAACGGGCTTAATGTAGTCAAACAAGATGTTATTATAAGTAAATTAGTGAATATGTTAAATGAAGCTGTGGATTATTTGGAGAAAAATCACATTGATGCTAAAGAACCGGATTCAGTTAACAGTCAAACTATCAACAGAATTCTGGATATTATGAGTTTTATGGAAATTTCTTCATTTGAAAAAGTCTTCGCAAAAATTCGAAATGTATCAACTGATCGTGATGAGTTTATCAAGTTAGTATTTTAAACTTTGCTTTTTTTTTTTTTATTTATAACGTTATTAATCTATATTATTAAGAGAATAAGAAAAATTTTGTGTCCAGGATAGTCATATGATAAAATCGGTTTTTTTTTTAGTGAAATTTAATGTCATTGCAAAGGTCTTGACTTGAATTCGTGCATTTTCAAAAATTCATATCATTCACATCGATAGTCAATTTATTATGATAAGTATTTAGGCTGCATTCAAAAATGCTCTATCTCTGGATACATAATTAAGAAATGACCTTGTATCTTGTGAAATATTGACATTTTTAAAGATATAAGCTTATTCTGACATTACACTCATCGAGACCTTTCATTTGAGTACCCACATCAATTTTTCATATATTTATATATATTATATATATGTATATATGAGAAATATATCAAAATGCATGTGGGTACTCAAATGAAAGCTCTTGATGAGTGTAACATCGGGATGAGCTTATATCTTTAAAAACGTCAATATTGAAAAAACTACAGTGCAATTTAACATAAGTCATTATTTAATAAAGCAAAATTTTATTTATTTATAGTTCACAAGTCACGACAGTCACATAGTGACTGCAAGGTTGCTAGTAACGTTGTTAATTCAATTAAAATTTTTATTTATTTTCAGAAGTTTATTCATAAATATTATACCTCAAGTAGGTACGCCAGCCTCTAATGTCTTTATATGGAATCTTGTGAAGAATAAAGAAGTAACTGATGGTGAAGCATTAAGCATGTTAGCAAAAATGGCTTTTTATGTCCGAGTACCCAATGAAGATTTTTTAATTAAAATGGAACCGCTACTTTATTCAAGTGGTTTTTTGCATCCAGAAATTCGTAAAATAAGTATTCTGTCCTTTGCGACGATGATTTACAAAACATTTAAAAATATGCCGGTGGATCAAGTTAATGACAGACTTGATAGATATTTGACTTACTTTTATGATGGTCTCATCAGTAAGTTAAAATAAAAGTCGTTGATAAATTTTTCTAATTAATTAATGAAAGTATGTTATTAATTAAATATAAACTTTTCTAATTTACAGACGAACCATCTTACACCTTAAAAATAGGCTATCTAATGGCTATCGGTAATGTCCAAGTTGGAAAAATTCACAAATTATTGGCTCCGATAATTCGTGGTGACATTAGCGTGTCTGAAAACCCATCTCACATTCGTCTGATGGCAATATGGGCAATCAGTAAATCCGTTTCGAATGATTATAATGCCGCTCATGATCTTTTGTGGCCTGTAATGTCTGATTACACTCTACCCTTAAAGCTCCGAATAGCAGCTTACGATATTCTGATCCGCCAAGTGCCCTCGATGGAGAATATTCTTCATATCTACTGGTTTATGGTCTACGAAAAAAGTGAATATCTTTATAATTATCACCATACAACCATCAAAAGCCTGGCAAATTCGTTGGATCCATGTGACGCTAAATTACGAGAACTTACAACAAAAATAATGCGTTTCACTAAAATACATCAGCCTGTACCTCATGAACTCTCTGCTTCCTATATGATTGATTCAATTGATCGAATCTACGGCCACGGAGAGAGCTTCCGGATTTCTTTGATTCATGATGAACCCACTGGGAATCTTGAAGTTATTTATCTTGAGCATACAATCGTTGAAGGTCATAAGAAAGTCAACCATTGGGGTGTAAGTTGTTGTTTTTACTTATAAAAATTACTTTTTTGAAAGAATATTTGGTAATTATTTATATACAAATAGGGTACCCCATTTTGGGCGATGACTAGGTAAAAAATTAACATTTTCTAATTTTTTTTTATTCTACTTGTTTTTACGACGCATTTATGATGAAAAAATTTTGTAAAAGGAAAAAATAAAGATTTCGATATAGCTTTTTTGCCTTCAAGGGGGAACATTACTGTGAGGTCGAAAAAAAAAGGTAATTTTCGGGAATTTTTTTGACAGGGAAAATAAAAGAATTTAGGAATCAGATTTTTTTTATTTTATTAAAAGTACATTAAAGATAACTACCCTAAATTTTTATTAAAAAATATTCAATTATTACAAAGTTATTAACAATGTCGGAAAACAATAGAAAAAATTTTCCCCACCATGGTAAAAACCTAAATCTCTTATTAATAAGGATGAAGTTATCGGGTTGCAGGTACGGAATTTTACAAATTCTGATTTTAAAGATTTTTTTAGCCGGGTTGAAACAAAAAAAAAAAACAGTAAAAATAATGAGAAAATTTTCAATCAGTTGCTAATTTTTTTAAAATTAAAATTTTCAAAATTCCGTACGTGCAACGACAACTACATTCTTACTGATTAAAAAGCGATTTGGATTTTTATTTTCAAACGATCCGTTTTTGAGTTATCGATGCGACCATGGAGGGGAAAATTTGTTCTAGTACTCTACGAGATTGTTAATAACTTTGTAATAATTAAATATTTTTTAATAAAAATTTAGGGTAATAATCTTTAATGTATCCTTAATAAAATAAAAAAAAATCGATCTCAAATTCCTTTATTTTCCCTGTCAAAAAAATTCCGGAAAATCACCATTTTTTTTTTACCGTCATAGTGGTGTTCCTTAAAAGTTGGAAAAAATTTCTATTTTATCTTTTTTTGATGTATTTTTTTCTGAAAAGTACATAAAAAAACGAACAATTTAAAAAGAAAAAATTGATCAAATTGATTAAAAAAAAAAAATAACATGGCCTGGCACGGGTTGACCCCACTTGTAAATAATTACCGAACATTTTTCACTTTCTAAATAATGCAACAATTATTTACAGATTTATTTAAATGCTGAAGGAATTTACGACTTTATAAATCAACTAGATCCCTTGAACAAATTCTTTTCTGTAACCGATAAAAATATTCTCAATATCCTTAAGAAGGCTGCGGAAAGTATAGCGCCAGTGAAAAAAATGCATGTCGACGCGGTATTAATTACTTACGGGCGTGCTGTAGCTGCAGTCCATATAAACGAAGATTTAATTGGAGATTTCATTGGTCTAACATATCCGTCTCTGTTGAAGATTTGGAATAACAATGTTTTTGGTGTAAAGTACCAGAATATTTACGAACAAACAGTAATCAGTGAAATGGGCTTACCTGTTATTTTAGAAACCAAAACTCCGACACTTTATTCTATAAAATTGATTCACGAATCAACGCCACAAGGGTCATTGAAAGTAGGAGTAGATGCTAAACTTTGGCATCATCAAGATTACGCAATGTCAATTTACAATCCTTTAGTGAATATTTGGCATTCTATTCGTCGATCTTCAGTACTCAATGCTGCTCTTCCAGCACAATTTATCTTCGGGTTAGATTTTGAACCTAAAATTTTAAAGCTGCAGTATCCTATATTGGATGCTGAACAATTATCAACTTTGGGAATAATGACACACACAAAAGATATTACAGTTGTTACAGACAATGAAGATAATATACTGGAGACAGCTTGCCCTAATTGTACTCACCAAGTGGTAGTTTCAAAAGGGGATGAATTAAAAAATAAATTTGAGCAAACACTTGATTTGCAAGCTTTAGGATTGCAAATAACAGCAGGTATATTTGATTGTGAAAATGAAATTACTCCTTATTTAATTAACAAAGAATGGATGAGAGCATTGTTTAAAGAGCGGAAAAATTCATGGGATAGTATATTGTTGCATTCAATACTTGGTATTCGTCAGCAATTGAAAAATAGTGTAATATCACCACCAATGGGAAGCTGTGGGAAAATTGTTAAAATTAGCCCTAGTGCCACTTATCCGACATCTCACGTTGATATGTCTTTTAAAATAAGTTATGAAAACTTGGATATGATTAACAAAATACCTAGTTTATTGGAAGAACACAAATTAAACGTGCTAGCTACTTTGGACGCGGTTTCGGCTTCTACAAACGCCTCTGTCGAGTCTTGGTATTTAAATTTAGGCATCGACATACCAAAAGGACACTTAAAGAATAGCTTGAAAGCACAAATAAGGCGAGTTACTTCGGAAAATGAAAACCTTAAAATTTGCATTGATGGTCAAAAAATTTATTCACCTATTGTGGGCGATCCATTGAAGGTTGGACTTACTAAGGAAGAAACTAATGGAAAACTTATTATTTCAATGGATCATTCTGACGATGATCAGTGTTATCGTAATGAAACTTTGGTTACAATTACAGTTAAAGGAGAACTTACAAATGAACAAAAAAAATTATTTATTAAGGACAGTATTAACAGTGCCTGCAGTAAGGATATTAATAATCCGTTGTACAAAAGCTCTAGTATTCTTTTACCAAAAACGGTCAATTGTCTTGATGAAACGATACGTCATACTACTTTGAGAAAATACACTTGCAATATTGCGCATAAAAATGTAAGTTATTAATACATTGAAAAAAAAAATTCTTGACTGAAGGGTAAATTTTCTTGGCTTAAGAAAATATTAAGGAAGATTGGAAATTTCTTGAATGAAGTCAAAGTTTCTTGAGCCAAGAAAATGTCTTCTTGCTCCAATATAACTTTTATCTTCCATAAAATTTTCTTAGTGCAAGAAGTTTTTTTTCTGTGTAAATAATAAATCTATATTATTAATTTTTCATATATTTATATATATTATATAAATGTATATATGAAAAATATATCAAAATTGATGTGGATACTCAAATGAAAGGTCTTGATGAGTGTAACATCGGGATGAGCTTATATTTTAAAAAATGTCAATAGTTCATAAGATACAAGGTCATTCTTTAATTACTGATGTTTTTAGAGATATAAGCTCATTCTGACGTTACATTAATCAAGAGCATTCATTTGAGTACATACATAAATTTTTCATATGTATATATATGTATATTTGAAAAATATATCAAAATGTATGTGGGTACTCAAATGAAAGCTCTTGATGAGTGTAACATCAGGATGAGTTTATATCTTTAAAAACGTCAATAGTTAAAAAAGTACAGCGCAATTAAAAAAAAGTCATTATTTAATAAAGCAATATTTTATTTATTTATAATTTAGGTTGCTAGTATGAAGTTATTGATATTAATTTTCTTTTAGGTGCCAAGAAATATTGCATCGAAAATCTTTCAACTAGAGGATATTATTAAGTCAGAAGTATTACCACACATAAAGTATACAAATGAGAATTTTACAGAACAAGACACAGCAAAAATAATTATTGGATTTCCGATGAATTTAAAAACTGTAAATGTATCAGTAATAACACCATACCGTAGTTATGATTTAATTGAAGTTGATTTGAATATTGAGAACAATCCACCACGACTAAACGGTTTTGGTTCTGATTACAACAAAAATCTATGGGGATTCCCGTTGGATAATACTCGCTTTGACATGAAATTTTTGACTTTATACTCTCTTGGCCGAAAAAGTTAATATTTTTAATGAGTTTTTTTTTCAGCTTTATGTTTTTTATTATTAACTTTTTTTTTTTTTTTTTTTTTTTTTTTTTTATAGAAATGTGTTCAGTGTATCCAAAAGTGGTTTTGACTGTTGACGGTGGAGAGATTCCATATTTAATTCCTTTGGAGTGGATATTAGTCTCTGGAGATTGTATATATGAAAGATTTGCTATTTTCGTAAAAAATATTGATGATAAACTAGCTCTGAGAATTTATCGGGGCGATGATGTCATCGAGATGATACCAAGTGACAATAGTACAATTCAAATAAAAGTAAATGATGAAATTATTGATCCTACTCTTAATGGAACCTATGTACCGAAAAACGCACAATACTTTTGGACACTAAAGTAATTATATAATTTTTTTTTTTTAAGTTCACTATTTTAGTAATAATTGGAGAAATTAAGTAAACAATATATTATGTATTTTTAGAATAACAAAACTTGGAGAACATGTAATAGCAACAATGGAAAATGAAATAATTGTAATTGGTTACACTGAAGGAAGTGTGTCTCTTATGATTGATCAAACATTGCACAGGAGAATTAATGGATTATGTGGTAATATGGATGGGACATACAAAAATAAAATACCGAAAACGTATCGTTTAACTCAAGATTCAATGACGTCTTAAATTTGTTTTCATATTATACTTTATATTTATTGAGATTCACTCGATGTCTTTAAAAAAGAACTAGAATTATATCAACTTATTTTTATTTTATAGTATTTGTTATTCCCGTGCGATTAAGTAGAAAAATAGTATTTTTTTGTTTTAATGTTAATATATTTATTATATAAATAAGCAATAAAATTATCAAACGTGCGTCATTGTGTATTTCAATTTTTATAAAGTCCTAGTAAATAGAATTCACGAATTTCATTAAAAGTAAAATATTTTGCAACCACGCACACTAAATACGTTCCAAAAATTTTTTTTTAATTTTTAAATTTACAACATAATTTTTTCTAATTTCGGAAAATCATATACAATCATATCGGTTACTTGGATTTTTTAATTTTTTTATTTTATATCTTTTTGTAAAGAAAACAAAATTTTTTTTTCTTAATAGTCTTATGAACGTGGACTTGGCGCGATTTTTTTACAGTGAAACTGTTTTTGTTCGGATTTTATATTACAATTGTATTTGGCGACTTCTTTTTCAATTTTAAATTCTTTTTTTTTTTAAACAAGTCTGCAGTCTAGCTCGAAAAAATCTAGCTATTATTTTTGAGCTCAATGAATTTGATGTAATTATATTCACGAAGTAATTATTCACCGATTAAATAATGAGATTATCAGTATACCGCATAGAGAGATGTAATTGATATAAAGCTTCGATTTATATTACTAGAATTCAAATTTTCGCGCTTGACTACAGAGTTTGCATATATTTTCATGCTTATGATATATATTCGACCAATCACGTTACGAATAGTTTGATGCCACATACATTTCATCTCAATTTTATATTAGGATTTAAAATAATAATTTTCAAAATTAGGAAATTTTTGATTTTAGTCCGATTTCTAAAAGCTGAGTTTTTAATAGATTTTCATTTTCTGAGGTCCTAAGAAGTCATTCTGACTATTCGGCTGCCCAATTTTAAAACACAGTAACTGCAAAATTTTTATACCTGATTTTTTTTTAGTATTGCTGCATTTTTTATAACTTTTAAACCTTAATTTCAAGTATTTTTTCTTAAAAATATTTATATTTGAGTATTTTCTATTCATAAATCAAATTTGTCATTAATTTGGCGGCCAAACTTTTTTTTAATAAGAAAAATTGAAAAAAATTTTAAAATGTTAGTTACTGTGTTTTGAAATTGGGCAGCCGATTATCGACTGGACGTCAAAAATAAAAATCAAAGAATTTTTTAAACGCGTTTTTTTTTAGATAACTTTCAAATTCTTAACGAATCAACTCAAGACCGCATATACCCTTTTTGGGTTTGAAAAATTGTTTTCAAAAAAATCACCACCAAGAAAATCAAAATTCTTCGATGTATTCAAAAGATATTGCATCAGGATAAAAATTCTAAAAAATTGTTCTGAAATAATGCTCAAATTTCTGAGCTTCAAAATTTTTGAGTTCGAAAACAGCATTGAACATTCCATGGCTGCGTTTATGATTCAACCGTATGATAATAAATAAATAAAGAATTCCTTACCAGTAATTTGTGCTATAAATTATTGTCAAAATTATAAAATATATTTATGGGAGGTCGTTACAACTGAAAATTCATTATAGTAAAAAAATTCAAACAATCCTAAACTTCTTATCGAAGTTAAAAAAATACTTGTAAAAATTTTATATAATTAAAAAAATTAAACAATACCAATTACTTAAAATTTTAAATGAATCAGGGCTCATATTGAAACATCCCGTGTAAAAAAAAATCGTCTTAAAATTGTCTTAAAATTATCGTTCGTTTAAGATCTTAAACGTGACACAAACTAAGACTATTTTAAGACTCTTTTAAGACGCCAAAAGAAAAATTCCGAGAGCAGATTTTTGAAAATTTTGTTCTCGAATTTGTTGTGAAAATTAATTTTTAGACGATTTTACGACTTTCTAACCGCAATATTTTTGAGTAAAATGTTTTTAAATTTAATTTAAAATTGTTTAAAAATTATTATCTGACAATTTTAATACTTTTTTAAGACGTTCCGTTTTAATGTTCCGGGGCTCTGTCGCTGTTAGTCCATCTTAAATTAAAATAGTCTAATTTTTTTTTTAAGACTTTTTTAAGACATTTCTAAAAATTAGAATTTGGAATTAAAATCGCTTGAAGTGTATGATTGAAGTTCAGATTAACTTTGTACACTGATAAAAAAAATTAACTTGACTCAAGAGCCAAAATCTTGAACCAAGAATACCATTTTGAAGAAAATAATTTTCTTGTGTCAAGAATTTATTCTCTTGACTAAAGAAAATCATCTTCCAAAAAGCAAGGACTGAAACTTTGTGTTTATTTGAAGATTATTGTTGACAATTTTTTACTTGTCAATATTAACTAGAAAATAATAGAAAAATTTTTTTAAAACATTCCGTGTAAAAAAAAATCATCTTAAATTTAATAATTGTTTTGATTTTTTTAAGACTATTTTGAGATTTTTTCAAGATGATTTTAAGATTTTTTTTAAGACTATTTTAAGATTTTTCAAGACTATTTAAAAATTATTTTAAAACTTAAATCTTAAAATAGTCTTAAAAAATCAAAATAATTAAATTAAAAATCTCGGATTTTTTTTTTTGGCATCGTAAAAGAGTCTTAAAATAGTCTTAGTTTGTGTCACGTTTAAGATCTTAAACGAACGACAATTTTAAGACGATTTTTTTTTACACGGGATGATTTTATAAGGATCTTTCATTTTTATCAACTTTTTCAATTGTCCGTCCCTTTCTATTGACCCCTTTTTTCCCCTATTAAAAACAATAAAATGTACCGATAAAAAATATGTATGAAAAATTTAATTGATTACTCGAATTTCTTCCTCACAAACTTTAATTGGTGGGTAAAGTATTAAAAATTTGAGTGCAAAAGATTTAATCGTTCTGTTGTTCGATCGTTGTTGATTGTACTAATCTATAACTAATTTTAGAAAGCTTTCATCATTTTTTTAAGAGTCAATAAAAAATAGCGAAAAAATTGATGGCATTTCAAAACATTGCTATCGTTCAAACGTTATTTTCATCGAATTCGATTAAATTTTTATTGTGGCAATTAATGATATATTTTAAAAATTTTTTATTATTTTTTTATAGATTGATCATCGCATTTTTTTTATGTTATATATCAATTATCTCAATTGCGATCACATCGAAAAATAACCATTATTAATCGAAATTTATTTAATTTAAATCATATATAGTTTTATCATTTAAAAGTTCAGATGAAAATAAAAAAAAAATACACAGTCTAAGTATAAAAATAAATTCCGCCGAATAATGGTTATTTTTTGAAGTGATCGCAATTGCGATAGTTGATCTATCATAAAAAAATAAAAAAACAAAAATAATAAATTTCTGAAATATATCATTAATTGCCACAATAAAAATTGAATGGAATTATTTACCTTATAATAATAGAATTTTGATCGATAGCAACGTTTTTCGATACCATCAATTTTTTCGCTTTTTTTTATTGACTCTTAAAAAAAATGATGAAACCTATTTATAATTAGTTATTGATTAATACAATCAACAACAATCGAACAACAAAACGATTAAATCTTTTGTAACCAAAATTTTAATGCTTTACCCACCAATTAAAATTTGTGAGGAAATTCAAGAAATCAATTAAATTTTTCATACATATTTTTTATCGGTACATTTTATGGTTTTTAATAGGGGAAAAAAGGGTCAATAGAAAGGGACGGACAATTGAAAAAATTGATAAAAATTAAATGTCATTGTAAAATCATATTTCAAAATGAGCCCTTATTCATTTAGAATTTCAAATAATTGGTATTGTTTAATTTTTTTCATTATATAAAATTTTTACAAGTATTTTTTTAACTTCGATTAGAAGTTTAGGATTGTTTGAATTTTTTACTATAATGAATTTTCAGTTGTAACGACCTCCCATAAATATATTTTATAATCTTGAGAATAATTTATAGCACAAATTACTGGCAAAGAATTCCTTATTTATTTATTATCATACGGTAGAACCATAAGCACAGTCATGGAATGTTCTGCGCGCATCTCGAAAAATAACCATTATCAATCGGAATTTATTTTTATATTTAGACTGCATATTTTTTATTATTTTCATCTCAACTTTTGTATGATAAAATGGTTTTTTTTTTATTATTTATGACATATAGAACAATAATATAAATATAAAAATGAAGTTAGCGGATATTTCAAAATTTTCAGAAATTTTTTATTGAAAAAATTTCAATTAAACAATTAGAAAAAAAATTTCACTAATAAAAAACTTGAAAAACTATGAGTGTAATTTTTTAGAAATATTTTTTTAGTTGTAATTTAATTAATGAAAAAAATAAAAAATTTTTAGACGTCTGCTAACTTAAGTATCATATATAAATATTTATTTCTTATTAGCAATGTATTTAAAATCATGAATTAACTATTGCTAATAAATGTACGATTTTGAAGATAACAAACTCTAAAAAATCGGGAGTAATTTTTACTCTCATCATTCGTACACTAAGTGAAAAAATTTCTTTTGAAGAATATGGGGATTTTTGTGAAACGAAATTCACTTGTTGAAAATTATCAACAATTTCATTTCTTAGCTGAAGAAATCAAAATTTTTCTTACCTTAACTTTCTTGTTGGAAAAAAGTTTTCTAGATTTGGAAAAACAATTTCAGATAGACAACTTGGGTTGAAAATTTCCAACAAGTGAATTCCAATATTTTTCAAAAGAAATTTTTTTACTCAGTGTGTGTAATAATATAGTCAAAATTTGAATTAATCATAGAGTACTTCGTTAATATATTTATTTTTTTGAAAAATAATTGGTTATTAAAACGAATGTAAAAAAAATGCGCAATTTATGTGAAATCGATCGTACATGCGATAGTTTTAAATTGTTATTTTTAGTTTCAAATAAATTGTTATTATTATTCTGTCAAATTCCCCACGAAGTTGGCTAGCGAAATTACTTTTTTGGGATCACTATAAAAACCGAATTTGTTGGTCGCTTAAGCATCATTTTCTTACGATGGCTGGTTATAGAATCTTCCTGACTGGTAAGTTTATCAAATCATTATTGCTTCAACTTTCTTTCTGTTGTTTTTTATCTATCCTACTATTATATCACAGTCTATATAGATTGTAAAAATAAAGTTTAAATAATTGATTCGAATTTTAGAATTGAATTTAATAATTAAATAATTGAAGCTAATTTCAAATCACATGCAGTTTAAAAAGCATAAGAATTCAAATTCCCAAAATAAGGAGAGATATTATCTAAATAAGTATTGTAAAATCATATTTGAAACTCCTAAAATTACTATTATATTTAGAATATCTCATGAAAATGTAATTTGAAAATTTTATTATTCCAGTTTTGCGTTAAAAGTGTGTTAAATGACTATAAAGAAAATCAAATTTTCTGTCTAAGTATCTAATGAACTTCTTTTTTTTATTCCAGTATTTCTAACACTTCTCGTTTTTGCGAGAGGAAGCATAGATAAAAGTAAGTAACCAAGTGAATAAAACATTTAAAATATATTGATATAATTTACTATTGTTTTTTCGGTAATGGTAAAAATAGACCGGAAAAAATTTTAAAGTTATGAAAAATTCATTAAAATTATTATAAAATAAAAATTATAATAATAATAATTGTATATCACACCTACAATTTTCCTGAAAAACAAGCACCTTCAGAATGATCGCTTCATTTTTTGTTACAAAAAAAAATTTTATTATTATTATAATTTTTATTTTATAATAATTTTAATGAAATAATATGAATTTTTCATAAGTTTAAAATTTTTTAGGGATTCGTTTTATCGAATCAAATTAAAAAAAATTGATGTTTTTAATTATTGCTAACAATTCCTATAAATTTATTGTGGAGAGAAAATTATATTCTGTTTTTTGGTTTACTGTATAGTTAAATATAAAATTTTCTAAGTATTACAAAACTTTTGCGTGATAAAAAACCCGTTAATGAAATGAATTGTTTAATAACGCAATTAAATCTTAATTGTTGTTACTTTATTGTTATAAAATATGAAGTCAAAATTGATAACAATAAATTGCTAACAAATAATTATTTCTTATCACCATTTATTTCAAGATAAAACAGTTATTTTTAAATATATAGTTTTAATTGCTAGACAGTAAATGTTGCTTTAATTAAATACGAATTTTAATTATAAGTAATTAATAACTCTACAACCTTCACCTCTAATCAATTAAATTTTTTCTACTCTTAAAAAAGATATAATTGCGCGAAAGAAGTAATTACTATTTTTTATTAAAAGTTTTTTACTTGTCACATTAATTATTTTTATCGTTTTTTTTTTTTTTAACTGATTATAATTTTTGTGCAGATTAATCACAATTTTTTTTTGGTTCCAACTTTAAAAAAACAATCAAGGTGAAACAGAAAAATAACATATATTTTTTATTAAATTTTTCAGGAATATTTCCTTATGGAAAGTCGCTTATTTTTCGATACAATAGTGAAGTGAAAGCTGACTTCACAGAAGTAAGAACTTCTGCATCCCACTATTTCATCGATGGACAATTTCACATCACTCATGATACTGGCAATCAAAATTTTGATAGGGCATTCATAGTTACACTTCAAAATGCAATTATTTCGTTGAAGAATGGAAATAAAACTTCGGAAGAAACTTCATACCCTACGGGTACTTCTGATGCGCTAAAAGTACTTCAAGGCCCATTCGGTTTAATTTTCGCAGAATCGGGAAACGTAACAATATTTCTACTCAATTTATTTAATAACTTATTACACAAACATGAGCATAACATATAAATTAAATTATTGTAGCTTGAATCCGTAACGATTCTTGAAGAAGAACCAGTATGGTCCAAAAACATTAAATTTGGATGGGCTTCATTATTTCAATTAAACTTCGAGAACATAGATTTAAATTTGCCAGTTAAAGTTCAGAGCTTTGTCACTTCAGAGGTAAGAAATAGGAGTAAAAATATTTTATATCACACTGAGAAAAAAAATATTTTTATCAAGAAAATTTACTTTATATAAGAACATATATTCTTGAAAATTTTCGAGAATATATAATTTCATCGCAAGAATTCGTTGAATTGATGGAAATAATTTCTATTTAATTCAAGTAAAACTATTCTTTTATTTACTCATAATATTATAAAAAATACTTATAAAAAAAATTAGTATTGACTAGCAACCTTGCAGTCACTGTGTGACTGCCGTGACGTGTGAAATATAAATGATTGACATTTTGCTTTATTAAAAATGACTTTTGTTAAATTGCACTGTACTTTCTTAAATATTGACGTTTTTAAAGATATAAGCTCATTCTGATGTTACACTCATCAAGAGCTTTCATTTGAGTACCCACATGCATTTTTGATATATTTTTCATATATATACATATATATATATATATATAATATATATTTTAAAGATATAAGCTTATCCCGATGTTACACTCATCAAGAGCTTTCATTTGAGTACCCACATGCATTTTGATATATTTTTCATATATACATATATGTAATATATATAAATATATGAAAAATTAATGTGGGTACTCAAATGAAAGGTCTCGATGAGTGTAATGTCGGAGTGAGCTTATATCTTTAAAAATGTCAATAGCTTACAAGATACAAGGTCATTTCTTAATTATGTATCTAGAGATAGAGTATTTTCGAACGCAGCTTAAATACTTATCATAATAAATTGACTATCGGTGAAAATGAAATGAAACCTTGAAAAGGCACAAATTCAAGTCAAGACCTTTGCAATAACATTAAATTTCACTAAAAAAAACCGATTGTTTCATATGACTATCCTAGAAACAAAATTTTTCTTATTCTCTTAATAATATAGATGGTTTTTTCTCAAAAAATTAATAATTAACATTAATAAAATGAATATTTTTAGTACCAAGAATTTCTTGTTTGGACAATAGTATTTTTTTTCTCAGAGTAGTTGTCAATTATCACACTTTTTAATTTAACTCATTGCTTTTTTAATCTATTAGAACACAATTCATGGGCAATGTAAAACGAGTTATCATGTTCAGCCAGAAAACTCAGCTTCTAAAAATTCAAAAATATTTTCGGTGATGAAATTCATGTCACCGAAAGAATGCAGCAAAAATAAGCTTTCTAGTTTTAATTTTCTTGATGTAATCCTTTGTACTTTACCAGAAGAGGTAAGTAAAACAGAATAAAATCATAAATTCTTCTATATGATAACAATTAATGAACTTCTCGAGCTTACTTATCAATTTTTTAGGAAAATTCGAATGCAGCCAGTACAAAAGTCTATGAATTTAAAATAGAAGACAATAATCTTTTGCTTCAAAAGCTTAGCACTCATGGAGAAACCAGTTTCTTCCCTTTCTACCACAATTTTAAGGCTTCTCAAGTTACGTACAGGTAAGCTATCACAATAATTTATTGAAAGTTTTTTAGTTAATTGCTATGAAACATTACTTGTTCTTTGAATTCTTAGCACTAAATTAACTCTGGAGAGTATCAAACCATCATCGGAATATGCGGGCCCCACTATTAATTTTGACAGTGTACCATCAACTCGTGATTGGAGCTATCAACACACGAAAAGCCTCTACGCAGAAAATGCAGCTACGGATTTTACTGAAGGACGTCACGTTGTCGATCAAAATTATCTTCTGAATGAGATAAAGGAAATGTTGATCGATGCTGCGAATTATTTTGCAGAGAATCATATCAAAACTGAAGAACCCGACTGGCAGCGAAGCAAGGTCATCAACAATATTCGTGAAGCTTTAACTTATCTTGAAGTTTCGTCATTTCATAGAATATTCTCCAAAATTCAAAGCAATACAACTCCAGCTAAGAAAGTCATAAAGTTAGTCTTTAATACATTGATTAGTTTTTTTTTTTTAATTAAAATTATGCAATATTTTTAACTAAATTTTGAAATTTCAGGTGGTTTTTCATAACTATTGTAGCTCAAGTTGGGACTGATGCAGCAAACCTGTTTGCATTTGATATCATAAAGAGTAAAAGTATCACTGATCTTGAGGCAATAGAAACAGTGGCAACACTTCCTTTCTATGTAAGAACACCTAGTGAAAATCTTTTAACTCAATGGGAAGAATTCGCTAATTCCACCAAAGCTTTATCACTGAATGTCTATAAAGCAATTCTTCTTGCCACTGCTACTATGGTTTATAGAACATTTCCATTCGGAGACCATCCAAGAGTTCAAAATCATCTGAACGATTGTTATCAACAAATTCTTAGTATGTTGATTATAATATCTTTAACTTTTAGATTTTCAGGTAATTGGCTCTCCAGTCTAATAACAACAATTTTAAAATTTATTTTTTCATAATATTTCGCCTGAAATAAATTGTAAAATTATTGTTATAAGACTGGACAGAAAGAAAAATTTCTTGACTGGAGAACAAAATTCTTGGCTCAAAAAAATTTTCGGGTGCCTGAAGGAAGACCGAAGTTGTGTTGGCTGAAGTAAAAATTTTTCTTTAAATTCTATTCTCGGTGGAAGTAATTTTTTCTTAATTCAAATTATTATAAATACTTGATACAATAAATTTTTATACTTGATCAAGATTTTTAGATACTTTAGGGAAGTAGCGCCACTTACTTCAGTTGAGAAAAAAATTTTCTCACCTTTAGAAAATTTTTCTCTTGAATATTTGATACCCATTTAATATTATTTTAGCGTGCAATTATATATATTGAATGAAAAAAAAATGATTCAATATTATTTGATCCTCCCATTTGACATGTTAATCATTAAAAATATTAATGAAAATTTACTTCTATCGAGATATTTAATTTTTTAGAGCAAGAGAGAAATTTTCTCAAGACAAGAAAATTTATTTCTATCAAGAACTAAATTTTTTGGAGCAAGAGGCTGAATTTTTTTAAAAAAAGATTTTCTCGACTTAAATAAATTTTCTTGGATCAAGATACGTATTTCTTAAAGCAAGAGAATTAATTTTGTTAGAATAAGTGAAATTTCTTGTGTCAAAAAAAAAATTTTTTTTCGCTCAAGAAAATAATTAGGAAGAAAAATATTTTCTTGGTTCAAGTGAACCTTTTTTTCTGTATGGAGAGCCAATTACCTGAAAATCTAAAAGTATTAAAAACCAGTCTTTAGAAGAAAAAATTCAATAATAAAAAAATATTATCTCTAACGTTCACTAATAAAATGCAATTTACAAAGATTATTAAAATAGTAATTCTTCTTAAAAATTAACAGATGAGCCAACTTACGAGATGAAGGTTCTACGGCTTGCAGAAGTGCATAACATGCAAGGAGGACTCAGTGCTAATGTATTGTCCCCGATTCTTCGAGGCGTAATTGAAGTGCGTCCGCGTGTCGATTACGTCCGATTGCTCTCAATTGGAGCAAGTTTAAGATCTTTATACTTCGATCAAGATAATGCGATAAGTATTCTTTGGTCGATGATGGCTAATACTTCTCTTCCTTTGAAACTGCGTATTGGATCATACAATATACTTCTGCAGCAATCGCGAACAATGACTGATTTCTTGCGCCTCCATTGGTTCATGACGAACGAAAAAAATGAACACCTTTACAATTTCCATATCACGACTCTCAAAGGTTTTGCGCAATCACATTGTCCATGTTTTGCTAAAATGCACGAATACTCTTCTAAAATTTTGGAATTAACGCCACCTCATTCTCCAGTATCTGGAAATTTAACAGCTTTATATGTAATCGATACCATGAATGATGAGGGTGATGGTCTGCAGATTAAAATTACAGTTGTTCGCGATGAAGATACTGAAGTACCGGAAATTATCTACTTGCAGCAGTTCATAATGAAAAATCATAGAATCACCAGCTATTGGGCTGTAAGTAATGCTATTTATTTTTATAAAAGTATATTATACCTGTTCATAGAAACCAGAAAAAAAAATACAAAAGTCACATTTACATTAATCAAATCAAGAATATATAATTAGTAATTTAAGGTACAAAATTACAAGTACTATAACAAAAATTATTATACAGAAATTTTGAAAATATATACTGAGAAAAAACAATTCTTTTGCAAAAAATTGGCATTCTTGTGACAAAAAATCAATTTTTTAGAAATTTTCAACAATTCTATTTCTGAACAATTAGCTGAAAAAAATCGAAATTTTTCTCGGAGTAACTTTTATTGTTGAAAAAAAAGTTCCTAGATTTGGAAAAAAAACAATTTTAGATAGAAAACCTGTGAATTTTCATTCAAAATTGTTTTTTCCTAAATACTGATAGAAGGATTTCTTAGTATTTAAAAAGGTTTCTTTGTATTTAAGAAATCATTTCTTAAACATCATTTCTTAGTATTTAAAATAAATTTCTTAGTATTTAAGAAATAGTTCTTAAATACTAAAAAATATAAATACTACGAAATATTTCTTAAATACAAAGAAATATGATTATAAGGAGATTATTCCGATCCTGACATTGAATTAAATTAATGTATTGTAATCCGAGGACCAAGGATCATGAAATAAGTTAATACTAGATTTTTATTTTCCGCAACGTTTCGGAGTTTATTACTTCTTCTTCAGGCGTCTGTGGAAACATACAAAATTTATACAATTAATTATTTATTACAGAACAACACCTCAAAATCTCTTAACAAACTCAATATCACATACCACAAAAGATTTATGTATTAACCCCGTCAACAAACAATAAATGCTGCTCTGTCGTTTCCATCGTAGTCTACAAATTCTAGTCAATGCACGAGTTCTCTTCTAAATTTTTACAAAAATATTCACTTGTTTAAAAATATTATCAAAAATGTTTTATTTTTTAAAAAATCTTTTTTAGTCAAAAATACAGCCTCCTATCAGTCGAATGTCAACAAAGAAATATTTCTTAAATACTAAGAAATATTTTTTAAATGATTCGATGATTAGAAATGATTTCTTAAATGCAAAAAAATCTTCTTAAATGCTAAGAAATCCTTCTATCAGTGAATCTAGAAAACTTTTTTTCAGCAAAAAAGTTACTGTGAAAATAATTTCTTCTGCTAAAAAATAATATTATTGAAAATTTCCAAAAAATTCATTTCTTGTCACAAAAATGCCTTTTTTTCCAAAAGAAATTTTTTTTTTCAGTATAGAAAAAAACCAAAAGGTGTTTAACAGTCTATATGTCTAACTTAATTACAAATTTTTCTTCTGAGAACTTTCTTTGAAACATTCAGTGTTTTTAATTCATTAGTTTATTATAATAATTAATTGCTACATAGTAAGCATTTATTTTATTAATAGTTTTCTTAACTTGAGGTAAAATTAACGGCTTATAACGAGTATTCAGTAGCCTTTCAGAATACAATATTTTACAATCATTGTTATAATATAAAAGAATCAACTAACAACACAATATTGACTCGATCATAACTTTATTGATACTAACATGTATTACATTATTCAAATCGTTATTTTCCAGCTCTACATACAATCTGACGGCATGGATAATTTATTGAAGAGCGTAAACAACGACTTTTTGAAATTCTTTGAAGGCCCGATCACCACAACCTTCATTTTTGATTTTCTCAGGAAATTTTCAGTTGCTATGACGTTGTCGAAAGATTCATTCCTAGATATACTATTATTCTACCGAGACCAGGCAGTCATGGTTAATTACTACGATCATGAAACTTTCAACACTTTCAATAATGATGTCAAAGAACTTGTCGAACACTTTAGTTACCTCGATTCATACCATATATTCTTTCAAAATATGTACGAAGAATATGTTGTCAGTGACTTTGGAGTACCGGTTGTATTTGGAGCGTCATCTCCAGCTGTTATTTCTTTGAAAGCACAAACCGATGATCAGGTAGCTGGAAATTTGCGTGGAATTGCTTCTGCAAAAATGTGGCTGTCCCATGATTACTTTGTGGCAGTATACAATCCTATTAATGACCTCTGGCAATCTGCTGAGAAATTGTCAGTTGTCAATACTGATGTTTCGTACCAATTTGAATTCAAAAACAGCTCTGACCATGAACTCTTACAATATATCGATCCGAGCCAATGGGACATCAAATTTAAAGAAGCTAATTTTGTTATTCAAAATCAAGAAGTAGTTTCTATAAAGAATAATCGTAATAATCAGGTTTTCAAAATAGGAAATTCAATTTTCAGTGATGAAGTCCCTTCAACAATTGAAAATTTGAATTCAAATTCAGTTGCTTTCACAGATAATGGAAACGATTATGAAGCAGAATTATTCAATTGTCAGAATCAATTGACTAATTTGACAAATTCAGAATACATAAAAATCTTACCACGCTGGGAAAATTATGACTCATTCATGTTCCCTCTATCATCACAAATTAAAAATTGCGGTAATATTATCAAGATTACACCGAGTTCATAAGACAACTTCTAATATTAATGATTTAATCAATATCATACTTTGAATCATACATTAATACAACTATATTAATTACACTATGTTCTATTTTCGAATTTTAATTAAAGTATACTTCAATATATTTTACTTCATGTATTTTAAATTTTAATATATTATTTTACAGTGTATAAAAATGATTCTATTATTTCAATAAATGATTCTACTGATTGTAAATACTGGTATTTTATTATTATTGTTTTTATATTATTGTATTTACTATTATGGAATTTTGTTTTTCAGCTATATTTTTTTTTATATTCAACCATAAATTTGATAATTTATAAAAAAAAAATTCTAAGTGAATAAAATGAACTTCATCATTTCATTAAAAAACTCAATGTGGCAATTAAATACACTGAGAAAAAAAATACTTTTACTCAAATTAACATTTCTTGGTTCAAGAAATTCGATGACGATAAAATATTCTATTATTATTAATTATTAATTTCTGAAGACAAGAGCATCAATATTTATCTTTGGATAATAGATAAACAAGAGAATAGCTTTATTTAAATTAAGTAAAAATTATTTCAATCAATTTAACAAGTTCTTGAGCTAAGAATATATATTCTTGAAAATTTTCAAAAACATGAATTCTTGGATCAAGAAAATTTTCTTATTAAAAGTATTTTTTTTTTCTCAGTGTAACACGGAAAAGTTTTTTTTTTCGACTTCAACTTGATTTTTTGGTATTAAAAAAATTTAATTATTAATTTCTGAAGAGAAGAGCATCAATATTTATCTTTGGATAATAGATAAACAAGAGAATAGCTTTATTTAAATTAAGTAAAAATTATTTCAATCAATTTAACAAGTTCTTGAGCTAAGAATATATATTCTTGAAAATTTTCAAAAACATGAATTCTTGGATCAAGAAAATTTTCTTATTAAAAGTATTTTTTTTTTCTCAGTGTAACACGGAAAAGTTTTTTTTTTCGACTTCAACTTGATTTTTTGGTATTAAAAAAATTTTTCATTAAAATGAGTATATAGACCAACAGTATTTGAACTAGAGCTAGAAAGGTGATTGTTAATAATACCCGCATGGAAAAATAAATATGCGAAAAATATATGCAAATATATATTTTCACATATATTTTTTTTGCGCTAAATATATGTCCGCATATATGTGAACATATATGCGTGTATATATGTTCACATATATATGCGCATATTAGTGTCTAAAGATATACAGAAAAAAATTTAACTTGAATCAAGAAAATAATTTTGAATAATTTAACTTTTTTGATTTGAGTAAAAAAATTCTCAAACTTAGAAATTTTTTTTTTCAGTGTATGCTTACATATATGTCTACATGTAAGCATGTATCTCTGCATATATGTCAGCATCTATGTGAAAAATATATTTTGACATATTTTTTTTTGCGTAAATATATGCGGCACAAAAGCTGGGATATACTCAGGGATAATCAGAATAAAAATGCATTTTTAAATGATATTTTGTAAGTATATAGGTACTATCGGAAAATTTATTGTTATCACTAAAGCTACAGTATTTTTGAGAATTTGAAATAATTTTTGCATTTATGAGAAAGCTCAAATAAAATATCCATTTTTTTCATACAATTAATCATTTTGAAGAACAGATTTAAAATAAAAAATATAAGACGATATTAAATCATCCATTTTATAACCCTGAGCCGTTTCCAAAAGAATTTTTTGGCTCTTCATAAAATTACCAATAGTCATATGGAAGTAAGTATTGCCCGATGACCAATTTGAGAGCTCGGTAAAGCTCCACAATATTAAAATATCTTTTGTTTGGGGATGAATCGCACTAATACCATTCTTATTAATGGCTATTATCAAAAATTCTGGCAAATTTACATCCGTAGACTGTTTTACTTCAAAGAATGCCGATCCGAATGTCGGCCACTGATAGATATACTGAAGAAAAAGTAATTTAGCATTTGCTTCATTGATTCCTGAATTAGTATTGTATGCTAAAGTAATATTTTTCTTCCAATCACTTGCACTGTACACGTGAAGCAAATCTGCTGGTACATATTCACTAATTTTTAGCGAGACTTCAGATAACTCTTTCTTACTATTACCATATTTGCTTCGATAAATTAAAGCCGCTAACTTAGTAGCATCTTGTTTATTGCATTTATGATATCCACGAAGATATTTAGGTAATTCTTGATGAAAATAGAATATTTCATCGGCATACATATCACGTTCTGGATGTATATTGATCCATAATTTTTTCATAAACAAAATTTGATACTGTACTTGCGTAATAGTTGATAATTTAGCAGATGGATTAGATTGTTTTATCCACTGAATAATTTCATTAATAAAATCAAAGAAGTAATAATCATTCGGTACGGAAAATACTTTATCAATAACTTTAACAAATAAGCTAAAACCATCACTGTATTTTAGTTGCAGTCGCTCTATTATCTCATAACAAAGATCAGAAGTACGTGTTGACGAGTGTACTTCAAAAGCTTCATCCGAATTATTTGGAAAGTAAATACGATGGTATATTTTGATGCTTTTAAATCTTATTGCTTCAACTTCTAAAATATACGGCGGATATTTTCTATTACCAATTTTAACAATCGTGTGGAATCTTTTTAAACAGTCACTGGCTATTGAACTTTTCAAGCTATTTAAAAACTGTATTACTTCTTTTTGAACGACTTCAGAGCAAGACATGATCCCCGTAGCAAGCCACATTAATTCCCAACCCCTTTCTTCACTCAAAAAAATTTTATTCTCCGTAAGTTGCCGTATTATTTGACAGTATACTTCATCTCTTAAATAATCATGTTCTAATGATAATTTAAATATAACATCCGTATACTCTGTGCCTATTTTTTGCCTATTACTCGGCAAATCTCCCATGTACCTCAGTATATTTGTAAATACTTCCAACGCCAACGGAAACAATTCTTTATCTTCGCACACTTTCTTCAAAAGCGGAGCCTTTATTGGTGTACGAGTGTGCTTCCAAAGATTTTCCGGGACAGTTTTTTTCGCTGAAGATATACTAGATCCCTTTGAAAGTGTGATATTATAATTCGGTCGGAAATTATCTTGAGCGAATTTCTTCAAAGTATATACCCGCGAATTCGATTGCTTCTTTGCTTTTCTCACTAATGTATTCTTCGTAGTGTAATCGCTCTTGAATATTTCCATTACGGTCGATGAAGGCGCAACAATTGTTGGCAGTACGTAAACACATTCAGACAAGAATTCACCTTTGATTCCATTGCGTTCTCCATAGCCCCAAGTTGAAGTCATTATGCTGTGTCCTGTGCATCCACTGAGCTTAACAAGATCGCCTCTCTGGAAAGACAAATACAATTGCCCTTCCGAACTAGGAACTCCAGTCATGTAATCTTGTGCTGCTACAACGTAAACTGATCTTTCTTTTAACCCATCGATCAGATAATTAACTAAAGATACTAAATCTTCGGCGTCTATGCTCTTGAAAATGTACTCATCTCTCTGTACTGTGGTGATTATAAAATTATTAATGACCGAATTATCAAATTTTTGAATCGTTACTTCGGCGATTTCTATAAATGACAATTCAAGCAACATTTCCTCTTGATCATCGACAAAATAAACTCCCGTCCAATTTACAGCAATTATCACATCATTAACATTAAATTCTGGGCCAGATACTCTTGTCGCTTCGTAAAATCTCGAGAATAAAATCGGCCATGTATGCTTAGCAAAATAAACTATTTCTTCTTTCACTTTCACTATAGGAAGTGCATTAGTAACATTTGAATTTTTTCTATAAGCTTCTAGGGTTAATTTTTGCCACTTAGACAAAGCTTCAGGGACGGAATTTTGGAGTAAGTGATCGGGAATATAAAGATGCATTGTATTTTTAAGATTATCAGGCGTTAAACTTGTTTGATAGTCAATGTATAATTGTTGAGCAACTAGCATTGCAATGTCTGTCTCGCTAGAACATCTATATTCTCCGTGTTTTAACCCGCGGATGATTTGATGGTAGATCAAGTCGGTCGCAACTGGATCTAAAGCTGCATCATGCCAAGGAGAGAAAATTTCTTTTCTTAAAAATAATCTCCAGGGCGCTGAACGTTCTGCTTGACCTTGTTCTCTTGCATACTGTTCGCACTGACTTATTGCATCCATTACATGATCTCTGTAATATGATTAATGGAAAATATATATTTTTTAATCAAATATATTCAATTTAATTTAATTAAGGATCAATTAGATTTAGAGAAAAAATTTATTTTGAAAAAAAAAAGAAATTGTTGTGGCAAGAAATTAATTTTTTAAAAATTTTAAACAATTTTATTTTTTAGCTGAAGAAATAAAAATTTTTTTCATTGTAACTTTCTTGTTGAAAAAAAGTTTTCTAGGTTTGGGAAAAAAAAACAATTTTGAATGAAAATTTGCGAGTTGTTTATTAAAAATTGTTTTTTTCCAAATTAAATAAACTTATTTTCGACAAAAAAGTTATTTTTATTTCATAATCTAAAAAAATAAAATTAAAAAAAAATTAATTTCTTGTCACAATAATGTCCATTTTTTTTCAAAATAAATTTTTTCTCTCAGTATATTAAAGTAGTTGTCATGGTACAATATTATCAAAAAATTAGAAATTATACGCGTCGCAAAAGTATGAGCTTGTAGCTAAGTAATCCATAATTTTTACGCAAGACTGTACCCGTGGAGACGCAACCCATACAATCGTTTCTGTCCGACTCCGTAAATATATACTTTTTTGATAAATTGTTAAACTTTAATCCGTTATTTATAAATAATTAGACGGTCAACCATTTTTTTATATTTTTTTTTAAACTCACAACAAATACATTAAAAGACTGTCAATTTTTATGAAAATTAAGTTAGCCGACATTTAAAAATATTTAGAATTTTTTTTTATCGAAAAAATGATTAGAAAAAAATAAAGAAAAAAAATTCACTTGTTAAAAACTTCAAAAACTATAAGTGCAATTTTTTAAAAATATTTTTTTAATTTTAATTTAATAAATTAAGCAAAATAAAAAAATCAAAAGTGTCGGCTAACTTTATTATTATTCAATTTTTTTAAAGTTTATGACAGTTAGTTTTTTTTTTATAACTAAGAAACTGGTACAGAACTGCAGAGAGCGTATGCAATATGTTAAATATCCAATTTTTAATTGAATTCATCTCAGGTTATAGGTGATCGATTGATATCAAATTTTTAGGGTAATTATATCATTGTGGCCTTAATAAGCAACAAAAATTTAGAATTTTCTGACAGTATGCCTTAACCACGACAACCACTTTAATGTGAATAATTATTAAATTACCTTCCAGCTCCAAGAGACAGAACTTTGTCATAAAGAGTAATAAACAGAGAAAATCCAAAAATTTCTGTCAACAAAATACTTTTAGAAAGAGTATTAATAATTTCTTCAGCAGTACTAGCAGAATCACATTCAATAATTCTGGAATTTCCATCCATAAATGTTATTTCCAATTTGATTGGTTTTTTATTTTTAGTTGCCTGAAATTCAAGCCAACTTGGTGGCTGAGTTCTTGCACCATTCTTAAACGTGCGACTGAGCCTCTGGTCGCAATAAGGAGCATAGTTTGGCGGTCCTGAGTTGATAAACGCCCGAAGATAATTAACAAATTGCTCACTAGGAGGGAAGCAACCCAAACAGAGAGACAGTAGAACCCACCCACGAGCGTGCGATGATTTGCTGGGATTTTTAGTTAATTGTTTGAGAATTTGACAGTAAATTTCGTCCCGTAATATCGGACGGAGAATACCATGTCCCATTATGAAGTGCAGCTTGTCTAAGTTAGAACTTCGAGTATTTAACCAGTCTTGATATGATTCATCTACAAGCATATCTTCTGTGATTCCTAAGAAATACATCAAATTAATTAGAGTGTTAGTATTATTGTTTATTTTATTAAGAAGCTACCTCTTCTAAAGTCTTTGTGTAATTTACTTTGACGTTTCAAAGTTATACGAATAATTTGGTTCTTTTTAGATTGTGCGTCCACTAAATTTTCGTACTCATTTGATCGAATAAAACTCTTGGAAATAGTTTCTGAAACTGTCGACATAACTGTTTTATTGGCGGGAATATCTATAGGATTTTTCGGCTCAGAAAGATCACCCATAAATCTTAAAACAGTTATCCACAAAGCTTGAGATGACTACAACGAAAAATTATAATTCATAATTAAAGTCGCACACAATTTTTAAACGCTAGTAGTTTAGAAGTATTCAAAACAAAGATATTTGATTATCTACTTGAACTTGATTTTCAGTAGTTTCCTTGTTTTAAATTGGCTTGCTTATATAGTCATTATTGATATTATGTATTACTTAATAGGAAATCTGTGCAATTATCTTAGTTAGATCTAAAGTCGCACTATTCTCATTTTTTTTTCAGTTTCTTATTAAGTTTATGTAGTCAAATAAATACACCAAAAAAATTCAATGTGTTTTATAATATAATATATAGTAATTATTTACAAGTAGAGTCAACCTATCTGCAAAATATCCCTGGACAAAATATCCCTGTTATCATTGTGTCCTTTAATAATTTTTTTTTAAATTCAAATTTGCGAAAACTATAACGGAATTCGAAGGATAACTTGTCGGGGTTTTTTTGTCATCGGGAATATTTTATCGGGGAAATTTTGTCGGGGATATTTTATCAGAGGATCAAGAAGCCTGATATCGGCCATAACTAGGTGAAAAATTAACATTTTCAATTTTTTTTTATTTTGCTTGTTTTTTTTTATTATTTCGATAGCTTTTTTGCCTTCAAAAGTTGGAAAAAATATTTGCTCTCATGTTTTTGGATAAAATTTCTATTTTATCGTTTTTTGATATATTTTTTTTGAAAAATACATAAAAAAAACAAACAATTAAAAAAAAAAAGTTGAATATTACAATTTTCTAAAAAACTTATAAATTTTTTTGAAAATGTGTTAAAATTGTGATAATCAACTGTTATGTTAAAATTATTAAATTATTTTCTGTAAACTATTTTGTTAAAAACTATGTAAAAATTTCTTGCCATTCGCCTAATTGCCTTGGCATATTCAATAAATACAATACAAAAGTAATAAAATAAATTACCAATTGATCAGCTGCTATTGGCAAATCTAATAAAGATTGTTTTAAAATTCTACGAGAATAATGTGGAGTTACGTTCGACGCAAAGAACGTTGCAGCAAATTTACTAAAATGATAAGTTGATAAATCGACACTCGATAAAACTTCAGCTGGAATTTCGAGAATACTTTGCTCTACAACTTCGTTCTTTTTTTTTACCGCAGATAAATCCTGTAATCACTGATTAATTTTCAACAGTTCATAATTAAATATTTATCAAAAAAATTCGAAAAAGAAAAAAACATACCGCGTATACATCAGCAGGTAACTCTCTTGCCAATGAAACCTTTGGTTCATTTTCTAAGAACTCGAATATTGTATCAATACTACTCTCAGGCTCTTTTTCAGTTTCCAAATTAGCACTCTCCTTGTCAAAACTCACTAAAGACTCGTGTAATTCTTTTAATCGTTTTTCAAAATTATTTTTCGATATTTCTTTCCACATTTTATTTCCCGATGCTTTCAATTTCTTCTCGTCTTCAGCAATCAAATCAGTTATTTCCTTCAACTTCTTCTCGCGCCACTAAAAATGATTTATTTATATAAAAATTTTTATCAAACGCGCGCGTATTATCGTTTTTTCACTCAAAAAATAATCTGATACATGGTATTGCTTTTAGAAATTTCTCGAGTGTCTTTATACATTACCTGAGATTTCTTTTTGAAAACACTTCGGGCAAGATAACCGCGGCAGCGAGTCTGCATGGAATAAAAAATATCTTCTTTAATCATTGTAAAAAAATATTTAATAGAAGAAATGTTGCACGGAAAAAAGTAAACTGTAATATTCACTCGGATTCCAGTTAATTTTTATAGTTTCAAACAGTAAAGCGGACATCGGGCTGGCAAAAATATAAATATTACAGAACTTAATGTCGAAAGTATGAAAGCCACAATTTATAATTTAATATCCAAAATAAGTGATTAGTAGCTGTCACTATAGTAAATAACGACTCTTTCATCTTAAAAAATTACAGTTTCAAACAGTAAAAATTGCCATTTCAATATATAGTCCATATTATGAGGAGAAGGGGAACTCAGATGAAAGAGAAGGGGGTTTCACTCTGGGAGAATTCAACATTTGAAACAGTAAAAATTATACTTTTAAAATATACATTTTACCAGTTCAAGCAAGTCAATAATTACAGTTTGATTTTTAGCGTTGCGTTTAAAATTTACCATTTTACTTTGTAAATATTGACGTTGCTTGTATTAGAAATTTACTAACTTTATTTAATACTTTTTACATATCATAACATCATTTTTTAGGTACGAAATGATAAATATCAAAGTCTGAATTCTTAATTATTATACTTAAACATTTTAGACATTTACATAGCGAATATTACTGTTTGAAATAGTATTTTCTTCCATGTAAAGAATAAATTGTAACATTTAAATGGTAAATATTATAAAGTGAATAGTAAAATCACGATTTTACTGTTTGAAATGGTAATTTTTAGCAGTTGATCATTAATTATTATAAATCGACTGTTATTTATTACAGTTTACTTTTTTCTGTGTGTCAAAAATTTTTATAAAAAAACATTACTTGTAATTTTATAATAATTTTTCTTTTTAGTCGGAAATTATAAGCAAGTTGCCGCGATCTAATGCACGATTGTAGTCTTTGATATCCTTTCTTCATTGTTAAATATTTCTTCCTCGGGCCAAAACCTCTCCATGTTCGTTGAATTGTTATCACTGCCCCTTTGATCTTCATGTATCTAAAAAAAAAAAAGATCAACGTTTATTTATTATTATTCGAAGGTTTTTACACGAACGTCCTTATCTTACTTTTTTCTACAAATCCATGATCTGACATATTTTTGGATAACAACAAGACTCTTAGCGAGCACCAAATCTCTCTGTTGTTCTAAAATAAACTCATTTTCTTCCTTAAGAAAAACTTTCGTGTGGCCAAATTGATAATTGTCACGATTTTCTCCCAAAGTGTTGGCACAAATATTTGCAGCAGTAGTTTTTAATATTTTTGAAGGTACTCCTCTGGCTAAACAATGAAATCTGCTGACAAAGTCCGGGTAATCGTAACGAATCGGATAACCAGCTCGACGGATTTTTGCTGTTTCCATCATTCCAGAATATCTTAGTTGTCGACAGCAAAGAGATCTATCAAATAACTGTTTTAAGGCGATATAAAGACGATTTAAAGACAATAAATAATTATAAAAATATCAACAAGACTAAATAAAAGATACTTGATAATTACCAATGGCTTTTGATCTTCATTTGGTTTTATACATCGAATAAAAAACGGATTACAATTTTCCAATGTCTTCATCAGTAAATCCAACGAATTACGAAATTCAGAAGACAATGATGAAACTCGTTTCTTCCCGTCTGATTCGATTGTTAAATCGTGGCTGAATATTAATTTTAAAAAATCATTCGATGATACAGTGATGAGTTGCTTCAAATCTGCTGAAAATGTATCGCGGTTTTTATCAAGAAATCCATTGATTTCATAAGTTACTGTTCCGGCAAAATGCTTTATTCCAAAAGCTTTTATAGAATCTGATTTAGGTTTTACATAATTTTGGTTATTGGAATGCATTTGGTGAACTTTGGCCAGTAAAGTTTCATCAGTTCCCTTAAAAAAATAAATTTATACAAAAAACGTTCATTTATATAAAAAGGAGTTAAGGTAGTACCAAAAATTTCACACTGAAAAAAAAAATTACCTTGAATCAAGAGAAAAATTCTTTCATAATTCTGAAGAATTTCATTGTTTTTAATCGAGACGAAAAATTTTCGAAAAATGTAAAATTTATCTAAACCAAGAGAAAATTTCTTAGTTTAAGAATTTTCCTACCTAAATCAAGAAGTTTTTCAAAATTATTTACTTAATTCAAGTAAATTTTTTTTTCTGTGCACAAGTGTCAAATATTCCATACAAAGCCTTACGTGGTTTACGTAGTGGATTTTCCTATGCAAAGTCGCATCAGAAAAAGAGAGACAGAGATAACTTTTGAAAGTTTTTTTATTAATTATTACTATCACATGCTCTGAATCTTTACTGTTAATTACGCAAAGTATTCAATAGGTCATTTTTATTCATCACCTAAATTTTTATTAAAATCTGAACTTTTTTTACTCTGGTTCTTTTGAGCTTTTCAAAAATTTACTAGACTTACATCCCGTGTAAAAAATCGTCTTAAATATGTTGTTTTTTTAAGATCTTAAACGCGACACAAACCAAGACTCTTTTAAGACGTCAAATAAAAATTCCTAGAGTAGATTTTTTGAAATTTGGTTAGCTAATTTGTTATGAAAATTAATTTTTAGACATTTTTCAGACGATTTATTTGCAAGTTTTTGAGAATCTTAAAATATTCTTAAGAAAATCTTAAAATGATTTTAAAATAGTCTTAAAAAAATTTTTTAAAACTATTTTAAAATGAGCTCACAGCAATAGAGCTCTGGAAAATTTTATAGAGCGTCTTTAAATAGTCTTAAGAAAATCTTAAAATAGTCTCAATAAAATCTTAAAAAAATTTTCAGACTATTTTAAGATGAGCTCACAGCGACAAAGCATGTGATCTTACTATAATTTATTAATATGACAAATTTCATCAAATTCTAAACGGTAAATCTCTAACCGAGACTACTACCTTAACAGCTTTTCCTAGTATTATCATGTAAATGTAAAAATAATCGTTAACTTTAAAATATCCAGACTGAAAGAAGTAATACTTTACCTTCGGAAATTTACTTTCTTCATCAATTAGTGCCATTACATTAACAGCTTTAACCCCAATTAAATCAAGAACGCTTTGATTGTCATTAAATTCAATATGACTCCATGAAATCCCCTCTTGATTGTAATAATCCTGTTCCATTTTAAAAATATGTTTCACAAAAAATTGCTGCAAATGTTCATTTGCATAATTAATACATAATTGTTCAAAACTGTTGTGAGTAAAATTCTCGAATCCAAAAATATCGAGCACTCCGATCGAATTTTTGGTATTAGATTTAGGCTTAAATATTGCATCGTTTATTTTACTGACGATAAAAATAAAAAGTCTTCCATAAACTGCTTTTACAAAAGAATCTCTTACTTCTGTAGCTTGATCTTTTGATAGATTACTAATTACACGCTCTCCTTGGACAAAAATCGTTTTTCGAGAAAGCGCTTCCTTCAACGCTCCATTATTAACACCAAGTAGTTCAATCAACATTTTAATGATTGCATCGTCAATTATTTCACTCGCATCCATGTTCGCCATCGTTACCGACTTGTAATTTACATTTCCCAGATGCAAAATAGCTGCTAAAAGTTTTATTATGCTCCAAAATTCTTCATCGCTAAAATTTAAGACTTTCATTGCTGCCTTTACATCAGCGAATTCTTGTGCGTCATTTCGCCCTTTACATTCCAAAGAGCCACATAAATATTTATAATCTTCTGGTAGACCCAAATTCAATTTTTTCTTTTCTTCTTTAGATAGTCCTATTAAAATTGAATAAAAAATATGATAATTTCTCTCATTTTGTCCTTGATAAACTAAACGACATTTTTCTAAAAGATATTGCTCAATTTTTGCGCCTTCTATTGATCCATTTTTTGAAAATTTTATGTCAATATATTTTCCGAATCGTGAAGAATTGTCATTGCGAACAGTTTTAGCATTTCCGAATGCTGTAACAAAAAATATAAATAAAATTTTTATAATTTATTTATTCAATTTATAAAATATTAATTTTTTAATTTATAAATAATTTAAACCTTCAAGAATAGGATTAGCTTCAAGAATTTGTTGTTCAATCCATGAATGTTCGCCACTTATTGCCGCAATATATTGTAAAATTAATTTTGTACTTTCAGTTTTTCCCGCCCCACTTTCTCCACTAGAAATATTTTAAAAATATGTAATTTAAAAAAAAATTAAAATACATTTTTATCGCTTTTAAAAATAACTAACCTGATTACAATACACTGATTTTTTTGTGACCGTCGCATTTCCATAAAGCAGTTGTCACCAATTGCAAATATATGAGGTGGTTTTTCTCCGATATTTTTTGATCGATAATTTGCCACTTCTTTTGGCGTGTAAATATTCAATATTTTATAAGGATTTATTGCTATTAACATACTTCCCGTATAAGTCTAAAAAAATAAAAGTTTAATTTCAATAACTATTTTATAAACAACTACTAGGCTTATAAAATTTAATTACATACATAAATTAAATTCTGGTTGTATCGAATATGAAGATTTTTCAAAATAGCATATTCTTGAAGATCTCCTAGCTTTATCATATCTTCAACTCCATTTATTGAAGAATGATGCATACGTTTCAAAATTCGATTATTATCAATCGTTTCTACCTAGAAAATTATTACAATTGAAGATTTATTTTGGCACTAAATATGATGAAGATTAAGTTAGCCGATATCTAAAAATTTCAAAAAATTTTTTTTTTATTGAGAAAATGATTACAAAAAAATTAAAAAAAAATTTTTATTCATAAAAAACTTTAAAAACTGTAATTGCAATTTGTAAAAAATATTTTTTTGTTCTAATTTAATTATTAAAAAAAAGTCAAAAAATTAAAAACGTCGACTAAATTTAGTATTATGTAAATATTCGGATAAAAAAATTAATTTGACTCAAGAGCCAAAATCTTGAACCAAGAATACCATTTTGAAGAAAATTATTTTTTTGAGTCAAGAAATTATTCTTGATTTAAGTAAATTTTTCTTGTCTCAGGAATTTATTCTCTTGACTAAAAAAAATCATTTTCTTCAAAATGATACACAGTAAAAAATTCTGCGTCAATGCGTCAAAAAATTTTGTGTTAAATATTTAACACTTTTTTGTGTTGATTTAATATAATAAATTTTACACAAAAATTTTTAACACAAAATTTTTTGACGCAATGACGCAAAATTTTGTATTGTGTATTTTTGGTTCAAGATTTTAGCTCTTGAGTCAAGTTAATTTTTTTATTAGTGTATGAAATATATTTTGTCTCATTATAATCAATAACTACTGATAAGATATATAAAAAAGTTTCTTACTTTAAAATATTTATATTATCAATTTACCTTTCCATCATCATCTTGAACTTGAAGACCTCGTTTGTCAGCAGAAATAATTTTACATCCCACAGGAATGTCAAATTCTCCTTTCGAAGAATTTTTAATCCACACATTATCGCCCTAATAGTAAAAATTTATTAAGTATAAATAATTAGTAGCTCAAAATATACAAAAATAATTATAGTTTATAAAAAACAACTTACGGGACTATATTTAGATTCAAATCCTGACATTTTTCAATAAATAAAAATATAGAATAATCTACTTCATCAGTAAGTGCAACAAGTAACTCATCGCAATAAGTTCTTCACTTAAGATTATCTTTGAGTTTATCTTTCACTATTCATATCAATAATTCAATTTTTATTGAGTCATACTTTATCAATGTAATTTTTTTATTATTATCAATGCTTATGTTTAGGAAAAAACTTAAATCTAATCCTTCAGAGACGATTGTACCGTAATTGGACTTGAAAGTGTCTTATATACTATTTGAAGTTTACTTTTGATCATTTTGCGCCTCAATATTTATTAGGCTGCTAAAAAATTAAAAATAGTAAGCTTTTATTTTTATTATTTTAATTTTTAATATTTTAATATTAATATTAATGAAAATTATAATTATTTGTAAAAGTAATTTCAGTGTTGATAATGCTATATATGTAATAATTGTATAAACGATTGTCAGCTTCCGTGGCGCAATTGGCTAGCGCGTTCGGCTGTTAACCGAAAGGTTGGTGGTTCGAGCCCACCCGGGAGCGTCTATTTTTGATTTTTTTCTGATTTTCACAAAAATTTAAAACACATCTTTGTAAAAAGCATCCAAATATTATAAAAGTATCAAATTAAAAAGTTTCTTAATTGTTATTGTGTGTAAAAAAAGTAATTCATTTTAGAAAAATTTAACTTTATTAAAAAATTGTCAAAAAAATATTTTATAATTAATTAATACAGCAATAAAATTATTTTTATCTGTTAATTTATGTGATAGTTGAAATTATTAATTACAAACTTCATTTGGTGTTGGTTTGGTTCTATTGATACTGTTTTTTATTCCATACGTGAAATAAATAATGAGACCTGAAAAAAAGCATTTATGATTGTATTGATTTATTAATTAATTAATAAATAAAAAAAAAATTTTTTTTACTAACCAATTCCCATCCATCCGACGAATTGCATCCAGGTTCTTATACTCACACCCCACATAAGGAGAAAGTTGACCATGATACTGATTGCTGGCAAGAAAGGTACAAGCGGTACCTAGAAAATTACATGGATATTTTTTGTGACTAAAAAAATCTTAATTTTTATCATTAATTATTTTAATAAGTGTAAATGTATTTTTAAATTGCACTTGAATATAAATTTGTTGAATTTTTACAGTCGTTATTTTATGATAATTAATTAGTACACTGAGAAAAAATTTCTTTTGCAAAAAATGGGCATTTTTGTCGAAAAAAATTAATTTGTTTAAAACTTTCTAGAATTTTTATTTTTTAGCTGAAGATACCAAAATTTTTCTAACAGTAACTTTTTTTTTCAATAAAGATTTTCTAAATTTAGAAAAAAACAATTTTAGATAGACAACTTGTGAATTTTCATTCAAAATTATTTTTTTCCCAAATCTAGAAAATTTCCTTTCAACAAGAAAGTTACTGAGAGAAAATTTTTGGTTTCTTCAGCTAAAAAATAAAATTGTTGAAAATTTACAATTTAATTTTTTGTCACAAAAATTCTCATTTTTTGCAAAAAAAAATTTTTCAATTTATGTTAAAGAATACTTACGGAGTACGGAAGCTTTTTATCAGATGTTGGTTGTAAACATATACATATTAGCAAGGCAATCATGGTAATGATCAGAACACTAAGGAGGATTATTGCCCAGATCTCCACATTAATAATGTGTTCTAAAAATTTCACAATGAATCCCGCAGATAAGAAACCGACAATTACTAAAAATAAAAAAAATTTTTTTATTAAATCATATTAAGTATTTAGATATTGTAAAAAGTAAAGTACAATTACCATAAATTGTAACGAGGCAAGATACTATGTCCGAAGTAAGTTTTGTTGAAAATACTAAATTATTAGCATTGAACAATTGCTTAGCAATATATTTAATTGTCCTGGGTTCTTTAACTAGTCGTTTTTTTTCGTTAATTTCATTTTCTTTGTACCTAGAATTTAAAAATTTTAAATAAATAAAGCAAAATAAGTTATTAAATCAATAATATAATATGACTTTTATAGCTAGCTTAAATTTGAACAATACAATCTTGTTACTAATTATCAAAACAATTATTTAGACCTGGTGCTGTCAAATTGACTTAGTGGCAGTGTAACAGCATCACTTGGCAAATTATCAATTTAATGGCATTAATTATGTGCAATTGTTATAATTATTATTATTTTTTTTTCTTTTTTATTTTTATTAATTACTATTGTTTTTTTGAATTGCAATTGCTAACACATCAATGGTCTACTCATTTAGCAATCTATCTATTAAATTACTGTACTACTTATAAGTCATCTTGTTATACATTACAAATTTTTTATGTACTAACTACTGTAACTATCAACCCTGTTAATGGCTTAAGCTGTTGGGTTTATTTAAACAAATAAATAAATTAATAATATAAATTTGTAATTACCGTAAAACAACAACACACGCAGCAACAATCGAATACGAAAATAGTGTACCTAGACTCATCATTTGAGACAAATGTTTCAAGTCAAAAAGCGCAGAAAGGATTCCTAAAAAAATTCTTGTAAATTAATTGTTCAAAATCTAAAAATTTTATTAAAATAATTAATATTTTACCAGTAAAAAGCCCTGCTATCAAAGTTCCAGTCATTGGAGTGTGGAATCGAGTATTTATATGTCCCAGCCATTTGTACAACAAGCCGTCTGATGCCATTGCATAAATAATTCTTGGTAAAGGGAACAAAGCACCGACCAAACTAAATAAAAAATATGAAAAATTAGTGGCTTAGCACATTTTAATTTAATTTATTTAAACAATAAAAAGTTACCTTGTAGTCAAAGCACAGAATGCACCAACACTGACAATGTAAGTCGCCCAATTCCAACCGATTGAGTTAAACATGTAAATAAAAGGAGCGTTAATATCTTGGTCGTAATAAGGTAGAACAGTCGTTAGCACTATCGAGATTCCAAAGTACGCCAAAAAAACTATTGTCAAGGAAACAACGATCGCTATTGGTAATGATTTTTTTGGGTTTTTAGCTTCTTCGCCAGCTGTTGCTATACAGTCAAATCCAATAAAGCCGTAGAAACATTCTCCAGCACCAGAAATTATTCCCATTAATCCAAATGGTGCAAAACCACCATTTCCATAATTGACACCCTCTTTTTCCGGTAAGTTTTCAACGTTTAGTTTCCAATTTTTCATGTCAGCTATTTTTAAAAATAAAATATAGATTAGTTTTGATTATTATAGATAAAAAATTAATTTAGCAGATATTTTATAATTTTTTTAACAAATAAATTATGGCAAAAAAAATTAACACGAAGAAATTTAAAAAAATTAAAAATCCAATTTTTTTGAAATAATTTTTTACAACGATTTTTTTTTGTAAAAAAAAAAATATAAAATGGTCAAGTGACTGCTAACTTAAATGTTCTTTATTATAGGACAACTTAAATATTTAAAGAACTCAAAGCGAAAAAGATATGTTTTTTTTTTACTAGAAATAAAAATTTTTAATCAAAAAAAAAAATTGAAAAATTAACAAACATCTTTCAATTTTTGTAGATTTTTATAATAATAAAATTATAAAAAAATTCTACATGTAGAAATTTATAAAAATTATGTGCGAATTTTAAATGATATTTTATCATAATTTATTTATTATAATAATTAAAAAAAATTTTTAGATTTATTTTAAAATAAAAATTTACTTATTATTTAAATACCTTTGAATGATCCAGCGATAATAACAAACAGTACAATTGATAAATTAATAAAAGTACAAATATTGTTTGCTAACGATGATTCCTTAGCACCAAACGCCAAACCCACTGAAAACAATACAGTGATTCCGAAGGCAAGAAAATCAAAGTAGGGTGAGAAGTACGGGATTCCAATTTTAGCGAATGATTTGAACGCATTGCTTATAACTTGATGAGTAAATACATCAATATAACTGGTCAGTGCTCGTACCACACTCGCTGCTCCGATTACATATTCAAGAATCAATACCCAGCCGATAATAAATCCCACAAATTCACCAATTGTCACGTACGTGTAGACATAAGATGATCCGGCTTTTGGTACTCTGGTGCCAAACTCAGCAAAACACAGTCCTAGTTTAACAGGTAATAATTGTTAACAAACAATAATTTTAATGATATTGAAATTGAGGGACATTTGATAATTTTTAGAATTTTTTTTATCAAATAAATTATAGCAAGAAAAATTTATTTAAAAAATTCCATATTTAAAAGCTTTAAAAAATTATAAATGTAATTTTTTAGACTTAGTTTATTTTTCAAGAAAAATAAAAAAATTGTCTAGTGTCTGCTAATTTTATGGAAATTAAATTAGCTGACATCAGAAAATTTTTATAATTTTTTTTATTGAAAAAAATACAAAAAAAAATTTTACTTGTAGAAAATTTGAAAAATTCTAGATGCAATTTTTGAAAAATATTTTTTTAATTATAATTTTTGTTGATTTAAAAAATAAAAAATTGTCAAATGTCTGCTAATTTTAATATCATGCTAATTTCACTTTTATTAATTTTACAAATATTAATAATTAATTTTACCTGCGAATATAGAAGCAATAGCCGCAATAACAAACGATATAATCACAGAGGGACCTGCATGGATACTTGCGACATTTCCAGCAAGAACATACACTCCAACCCCAAGAGTTGATCCGATACTAAGAGCTGTTAAGTCTAGTGTTGTTAAACACTTTAATAATTTAGATTCCGGTGCTGAAGCGTCGATTATTTTTTTCCGCATCAACGCACTTTTAAATCTTTGCCATCCTACTGTATTAAAAGACTCCAACATCTGAAAAAAATTTTTTTAATACAAGTTTAATTTTTAAAATTTATTTTTCAAAAATGATAATACGTTTTAATTTTTTAAACACAAGAATCACTTCACTAAATAGCTGCAACGCTCTTCAATCACTTGTGAATTAAGTGGCTAGTAACCGGCGCGATTTAATAAATCCAATTTAATTGATATAATATTTCTTGTCTCGAGTTTAGACACTCAGACACTTTTTATTAATACATCGCTGTTAGTTTTTTTTTTTATAATTACTATTGGTCCTTTTTATTACTTAAAAAAACATAATTATTTTACAAACCTTGATAATAAACTAGTATAAATTTAGATATTTACTATATTTGTTTTAGTTATCACTATACTTTTATTTATTCCATATGTGCTCGCTCCAACGATATAAACGTGAGTGAGGTTTGTTTCTTTCAATTCACCTACCCTACCACGTGGGTAAGAATTGTGAAAATACTTGAGGTATGACATCAGACGCATTTTACAATACCTTTCCCTTTAAAAAGGTAATAGAGGGTATAACAGTAGGTTCTTATAAATAAAGACTATGAGGGTATGTTTCATTTTATGCTATATATTTATAATACTAAAGTTAGCCGACGATTTTAATTTTTTAATTTATTTTTTAATAATTAAATTAGAACACAAAAAAATTTTTTTAAAATTGCACTTACACTTTTTAAAGTGTTTTACAAGTGAAATTTTATTTTTTTATTTTTTTGTAATCATTTCTTCAATAAAAAAAAATTTTTAAAATTTTTAAATGTCGGCTAACTTAATTTTCATTATATATTTATAGATTGTAAATTAATTTAATAGATATTTAATCATTTTAAAAATTTTTTAACAAATAAATTATGGCAAAAAAAATAAAAATGCAATTTTTTGGAACAAATTTATTTGTTAAAAAAAATTTTTTAAATGTAATTTTTAACTTTAATGATGAAAATTAATTTAGCAGATATATAATAATTTTTTAAACTAATAAATGATGGCAAAAAAAATTAGAAAAAAAAATTTTTATGTAGAAATAAAAAAAAATTCAATTTTTTTAAAATAATTTTTTGGAAAAAAATTTGTTTATTAAAAAAAATTAAAAAATTGACAAGTAAATGCTAACTTAAATGTCATATCGATAGAGACAGATATCATTATGTTACACTCAAAATTTTACGATTATTATTATCTATGTTATTATTAAAATACGTCAAAATTTAGTGTATGTGACTTTTTTTCCTTTTTAAGTAGTTTTTAATGATTTTTTATCGAATTAATGTCTTACAAAAAGACAATTAGAGTATCAGTCAGTTATAATAATAAAAAACTATATTTTTTGATGTGTAAAATTAGTTGCACTCAGTTGAATATTAACTATATTTTAAAATTTTTGTTTTTTCTTATATACTTATCTTATATATTTTTTTTCTTATCTATTGTACTTTTATTATTTCAAAGAAAATAAGTGCTGTTATATTTAAAAAATATTTCTTTGTATTTAAGAAATATTTCTTAAATACAAAGAAATATTTTTTGAATACTAAGAAATGATGTTTAAGAAATGATTTCTTAAATACAAAGAAATCTTCTTAAATGTTAAGAAATCCTTCTATCAGTGTATGAATTGAGTTTGCTACCACGTGAGTAAAAATTTTCAAAATATTTTCTTCATTACATCAGTGGCATTAGACCCTTCGGGATTCCACAGACAATTTACTGTATACAGTGAAACCTAGATAAGTGGGACCTGGATAAGTGAGAAACTTCTGTAAGCGAGACTTTTTCTCAGGTCCCGGTACCTCTGCACTGAAAAACCTCTTTTAGTGATATTGATGAACCTCTATAAGTGAGACATTTTTTCAGGACTTACTAGTTCTTTTCTCTCGTATTTGAAACTATTTATCCCATTGTATTGGCAACATTCTTTTAGTATGCGTTTTTTATAGAAAAGAAGTCGTTCATCATATTGTGACATTTATAGAAGACAATGTAAGCATTTTACAAGCTATGAGATTCGCTAGAAAAGCTGGGTTTTCTGTCAGTAAGACTACAATCGCAAATTGTTTTAGAAAATCAAGTTTCAAGTTACATGCGTTTGATTCACAAGGTAATGAACAAGAAAAAGAAATAACTACAATTAGTGACGATGTTTGGGCTCAAGTAATAAATGATGACAACCAGCAACTGCAATTCAACGAATATGTCAATATTGATGAGGATGTAATGACTTCAGGGGAATTGACCGATAATGATATCGTTTCTGCTGCAATCTCATGTATAGAAACAGAAGAGGAAGAAGAAGAAGAAGAAGAAGCACCAGTTGAGAAAGTATACAAATCTGACGCGGAAAAAGCATTGTGGACATTGCATAAATATTTTGAATTTTCCAATATTAATGATAGAACTATTTTTGACAAATTATTTGCCATTGAAAAATTTTTGACTGCTGATTGTAACTTAAAGCAAACTAAAATGACCGAATTTTATAAGTGAATTACTGTATTTCATACTGTATTATTTCATATTCTATTATACAGTATAGTAATGTATATTCTCTATTTCTATTTATTATTCTCTGACCTTGTCTATCTAAGTTTCCCTCTCTGTATGAGAAACTCGGGTAAGTGAGAAACCTCTATAAGTGAGAAAAAAATCTTAGTCCCTACAAGTCTCACTTATACAGGTTTCACTGTATTAATAAGTACTTCAAACAATTAATTGTCATTAACTTCGAAGATAAAAACAACAAAGATATGATTAAGTACTGTTATGAAATTTTATCGAAAAATAACAAATTGGCAGATTAAAAAAAAAAAAGTCTTTTTGGGTGATAAAAAAAAAAGAGTTGTTAATTTGAAAGATAGAGGTGAAAAAAATTAACCAGAATGTTATGGCGATTAATTATGAATTTGGGATTTCAGATCTCCTCAGGAATTAATATCACTCAGACCATTCACGCGCTCTTTTTGAGACGCAACTTTCAAGTGATAATATTAATAAAACAATATTTAATTTTGTCATAAAAAATTTTTTTTTGTTAACAAGATGTAAGAACGGCGCAAGTTACTAGACTGAAAACTAAAATCATAAACTTATTTTACTCAATATTTTTACAGTTAAGTGTATTGTTTAAAAATAAAAAAAAAATTAATATTAAATATATTATTACTGAAATTTTTAATATTTTTGTAATTGTAAGTTTTTCTCCATTAGATTTTAATCATTATTTTAATCTTATTTTTTATCAAAGTAATATCTCACAAAACGACTATTAGACATAGTTAATATTGATAAGACAACTTGTATAGTTATAAAACTAATTTTTTTCGGTTAAATATATGCTGGATTTTTCATTACTTTGGCCAAAATTATTTTCTATGTACGATTTTCTTAGTCGTATTTTTATTTTTTCAAAGAAAATAAATGCTAACATAAATCCGAAAAAATGTTTTTATAGAAATTGGGGTAAAAATTTAGAATATATTCTTTACTTTCAAATTTAAATATTACATAAATTTTTATTACTTTAATTTATCTATTTCTTCATCAATATTCTGTGAAGAAAAAAAATTAAAAAAATATTGAATTTGGTTGTTTTAAAACGTAAAAAACGATGATTGTAACGTCGTGTGGGCATTTGGTTGTGGATTGGCTGATGAGAAATCAATTTTATCTAATTCAAGTCAATTAAAAATTAAAAATAGACTTTACTTAAAGTTGTTATGTGAAAGATACTAGCGATGAAATATTTTTTAGTTCAAACTTTGGTTGATGTTATTGACACCAACGTCAATTGACTCCATAAGGTAAGTTACATAATATTAAAAGTATTAAGTTATAATTATACATTATAATTGAGAAAAAAAATATTTTTTTAAGAATTTATGTTTTAAAACTAGAGTGTATATTTTTGAAAATTTACAACAATAAACTTTTTTTAAATTTATTTTTAAAGTAATTTTTCTTTAATTTAATTCAAGTGAAGCTATTCGTTTGTTTGCTTATAATAATGAAAACAAATTCTTATTTCAAAAAATTAATTTACATAATTTTTAAAAATTCTTTATTCAAGAAATGTGGACATAATTTTTATTTTTTCTTAGTGTAATTTTACTAAAAATATATATATATTTTTTTGTTGTTAATTTCTAATAAAAATATATTTTTTTTGTTGTTAATTTTTAGTAAAAAATGGCAAAAACTTTATTGTCTTTCTTCACTTTCTTTGTCGGATTACTAATTATTACAGCAGTCATGGGAGATAAATATTTACAAGATTGTTCTAATGTTGTTGGACAAATAGTAAGTAAAAATTTGTAATTCTGTTACAAAATTTAATAAAATCAAATAACATATATTTTTACATTTATTGTTATTATTATTCTAGTGTGATAATGACGACGATTGTTGCGGCCCAAGCATTTGTGAGCAGCGTTGGTTTTCGAGGTTTTGCAGCTACAATAATACTACCTACGATAAAGATGAATAATAAACACACCAAAATAAAATATATATTTCAATTGACTGATGCAATAATTTTGTAATTACTAGGTAGAATAAATAAAAACTTATCTTAGAGATAAAAATGTCTTTATTAATTTTTTTGTTTGTCATCGAAGTATATAAATATAAGCGAATAAAAATAACCACAATATAATAGTATTTTACAGGAAATATTAAATACTAATAATAATATAAAAAATTTATATATACTTAAAAAAAAGTACAAGAGATTATATTTAAATAATTTAAAGTATTTATCACTTTTATTAATTAATCATTCTTTTTTTTATATTATTTAATAACATAAAATATTATTCTCATAGTATGTTTATCAGAATTCAGAAATCAATTAATTATACACAGTTATTTACAATTTCCGGTGGGACGTATTGAGTTTGAAATTTTTTTCTTTACGTAAATAATAAAATTTATTTTAAGTCGATAAAATTAAAAAAAAAAAAAAACATTTATTAAATTATTTTATACAGTCTTGAAACTTAGTAAAATTTTTGATATTCTGATTATATTATATTATATCGATAATATCGATGACCATAAAAAATAATTCTAAAATTTTATGGCAGTAATATTTCATTTTTTTTTAATTATCCTTCGACTACGATTGTATTTTTTTTTCTTTTGCATCTAAATGGCAAATCATCAATATATCAATGGTAGCCAGTATTAGCATAAAAGATAACTCTTATTATTGATAAATAATAATTTATTTATTTATGCATAATTTTTAAATTAGTGGCATTCCATTAGTTCGTTGTGCATTCAGGCCCCTAATTATAATAATATATTCATACAAATTTTTTACGAATATATATAATCAGTTATCGTAGTGAGAGTATATCTTAAAAAAAAAATTGCTATTTGCTGAATAAATAAAAAAAAAAAAAAACACAATAGATCTTTGTATAAAATTAAAGCGTTAAACAAAATATTAATTACAAATATATGTAAAAAAATTTTAAATATTCCTAATAAAAATATGTTTTTAAATTCCAGTATTTCTTCAATTAAAAAAAACTCAATAAAAATTATCAAAGAGTTCCTTAAAAATATATATATAATCCTACTTGACTCTATATTTATTATTTAATCAGCTCGTAATACAGAAAATACTTAAACTCGTTGCATAGGTGTCATTTTCGGACATAGGGAAAATCTACCGGGATTTTTCTATGATATTTATCACTGGTGTATTATTCACATTAGATACCAATCAATTAATTATATTATTAATATTCTACTTCATAGTAATAAAGATTCATCCATATTACCTTTACTGATTTAAAATTACTTAGAGTAGTTTTATGTATATGACTACAAAAAATTAGTCAAAAATATATTAAAATAAATAATAAATAAAACTTAAGACGGATGTCGATGTCGTCGGGACACTTTATCAGCTGCATGCTTCCAGTTACTTTGCCAACTTCTGCTTCGTCGATTCCAGGAACTAATTTTAAAAAATAAAATGTTATTAATTTTATATAATTATTTTACAAACAAAATTTACTACATAAATATTATTGAAAACTTACTTTGAAACTTTTTTACGTCTCTTATTACTTCCAAGTTCACTTTCACGAATAATTTGCAGCGCTGATGGTATAAACATGTCTTCTGTAAAAAAAAAAAAAAAAATTATTATTCTGTAAAATATTGTTTAAAATTTTGGTAAATATTTACAAGTGGGGTCAACCATTTTAATTTTAATTTTTTTGAATTTTTTTTTAAATTTATAAATTTTTCAGAAAATTTTGATATTCAACTTTTTTTTTTTTTTCGAATTGTTCATTTTTTTATGTACTTTTCAAAAAAAATATATATCAAAAAAAGATAAAATAGAAATTTTAATCAAAAAGATGAGAGCCAAAATTTTTTCCAACTATTGAAGGCAAAAAAGCTATCGAAATCTTTATTTTTTTCTTTCATGACATTTTCTATCATAAATGCGCCGTAAAAACAAGCAGAATCAAAACAGTTTACAGAATCTAATTTACTAATTTTAACATAAGTGTAAATATATAAGGTAAATATTTACAAGTGGGGTCAACCATTTTAATTTTCATTTTTTTGAACGGAATTTCTATTTGATTTTTTGATGTATACTTATTTTATTTTAAATACATAAAAAAATGAACAATTTAAAAAAAAAAGAGGATTATCACAGTTTTAAAAAATTTTCAAAAAAATTTTTAAATTTTTTAGAAAATTTTGATATTTAACTTTTTTTCGAATTGTTCGTTTTTTTATGTGCTTTTTAAAAAAATATATATCAAAAAAAGATGAAATAGAAATTTCATCCAAAAACATGAGAGCTAAAATTTTTTCCAACTTTTGAAGGCAAAAAAGCTATCGAAATCTTTATTTTTATAAACAAGCAGAATAAAAAAAATAAAAAATGTTAATTTTCCACCTAGTTATGACCCAAAATGGGGTTATTAACCTCACTCGTAAATAATTACCAAAATTTTATAATAAAAAAAAAAAACTTACCAAAAGAATTGCTGTACTTTCGCTTAGTCAAAAACCGTTGTTGCTGTACGGTATTAGTAGCAATAGCTTCTTTAGCATTTCCAACAGTGCAATCACGAGTCCCTTTGCAGCCCTTCAAATGCTCTAACTGATCATGTAAGTAAGACCGTTCGGCAGGCGTCAAAGAACCCAATCTATTCCATTGTTCAAAGGGATCAATTCTCAAATTATAAAAGGTCGCAAAACCCGTGGTAAATTCGCAATAAAGAAAATTATGCGTAACATTAATAGTACGGACACATGAGTATGTATTATTATTGGCATTCATACAAAAACAGAACGGTCCAGCGTTCCAAAGTGGTGCTGTACGCCAATGGTCATTATCATGCTCAAAACAATTCATTTTTTCAGTAAGACATTCCTTTTCAAGTTTAGCTTTTTTCTTTAATTTACGTTCTTTTTTACGTAGCCGTTCCTCCTTCAGTCTTCTTCTCTCCTCTTTGGCAATCTCCTTTTCGTCTTTCTTTGGCTGATTGTCCGGCTCGCAGTAGCATTTGTAACGTGATTCCAGGGGATTATTAATTAACGGCGGAGGAGGTCCATTGTTAGACATACTACCAGGTTGTTTATGCTTGCGATCAGGTGGCTCTAGAATAGTAACGTCAATTCTCGCTGGACCTAAACCAGTGCGATTTTTAATAATTTTCAAGGGTTTTTTAGTTGTTATTGTTGTAGTCGTAGCCGGTGTTGTGGTTGTGGTTGTTGTCGTCGGACTGGCAGTAGTAGAAGCTCTGGTAGACATTGGAGTGGTAGAAACTGATTGTCTTGCAGTAGTTGAATAATCCTTAACATTATTTTTAATCACATCGACAGTTGATTCTTTTTCCTCACGAATTGGCCAATTGTCAGACGAGACATTTGAATTAACATTTAAATTATTATCATTAACACTATTTGTCAAGAGAGTATTATTATTAATACTATTATTAAATTTATTTAACTTATGATGATGAATTTTTCTACGTCGCGGTTTATCTTCTTCATCCGTACGTACGTCAACATTATCTTTATTTATCTTCTGCCTTCGGGAACTTTTCTTAGCCTTGATAGTTGTCGGGACTGTAGTTGTTCTCGGTAACTCGCTCGTGGTAATTTTCCCTTGAGTCGCTGAATCATACGATCGATCGAGTCCCTCGGGTGCTGGGGTCTCAGTAATCTCCTCACTTGTAGAGCCAGAAGATGTTGAACTAAAACTAGTTGTACTGGAATAATAAACTTGTGTTGATGAGCCCGTTGTTGACACCGGTAGTTTGTCATGTTTTTTGTGATGACGAGTATGGTTCTTATTATGGTGATGATGATGATGATGGCTATTATGATGGTGATTATTGCTGTTATTATGATAATGATGCTCGTGTGGGTGTAAATCATCCACTTCAGAATAATCATCGTCTTCTGGTATAAAATGCGGGCGCTTATCCATTAAATGCCGTCGTATTTCTTTAAGACTCTCCAACTGAATTCTCATTTCCTTTATCTGTTTTTCAATAGCCCGTCGCGACTGTTTCCATTCATTCGGATCTTGATAAACAGACGTCGTACAATTAACACCGCCCTTTGGTAGAACCAAACACTTTGGTGAGATTACTTCTGTCCCATTTGACTGCCGTACTTGACTCTCTTTCAAATCATCCAGCTCCTCTTCAATGCTCTCCATAATTTTTGTCACATGCTCGATAGTGTCTTTCTTCGTAACACTTCTTCTTACTCTGCGGTGTCTTTTTAAAATATCATCGACATTGATAAATTTCTTCACAATTTTATTTAAGCTCGTAAAATCAAAATCATTGACACTGTAATCTGTCTCATCTTTATTATCATCATCATAATCATCTTCTTTAACGCTATTGTTAACCAGATATTTAGAATAGCCAATCAACCTGTCGCCCATAAAATTAATAGTATTTTCATTTACATCACGTTTATTTCTCTCGTGCAAAAGTTCTTCTCTGAGAATCTCTAGCTCTTCTATAAACTTTTCATCGTCTTCCTCATCAATAGCTCGTCGGTCTCGTAAATCATCCTCACCATAATAACCAGACTGTGTAGATTTAAATTCAAGCTTAACATCGTGTTTAATTTTCTCCCGGTCGACGATACTTCTCTTACCACGTCCGCCGCTTAAAAATCCCTCACCGTCATCATAAAGTCCACCACGATTATCTCGTGGAAAGTCATTAGACTCGAGTCTGGTGTACACAACACCATTGGGTGTGAAACAAGCACACTTTTTAGAAGATTTGTGCGCTGTCCCACTGGTAATTGATGATGCTGTTGTCGTATACTTGCATTTGTGACGTCGCCAACGATGCCCTTCCTTCTCGCAACGCCACTTTTGACCAGGAAGACAATTAGTTTGTGCCTCAGGTCTTGAACATTCGTATGTAAGACGCTCGTGCTTTGAATTTAAATTCAATGAAGGATTTACTCCATTATCTAAATGAACATCACCATCTGGAACAAAAGTACTGAGTTATTTTTACTTACTGGTAGAGACATAGACATAGACATGCTTGCTATAGTACTATACAGAAAAAAAGGTTCATTTGAGCCAAGAAAATATTTTTCTTCCTAATTATTTTCTAGAGCGAAAAAAAAAATTTTTTTGACACAAGAAATTTCACTTAATCCAACAAAATTAATTCTCTTGCTTTAAGAAATACGTATATTGATCCAAGAAAATTTATTCAAGTCAAGAAAATCTTCTTGTTTTAAAAAAATTCAGCCTTTTGCTCAAAAAAATTTAGTTCTTGATAGAAGTAAATTTTCTTGTCTTGAGAAAATTTCTCTCTTGCTCCAAAAAAATAAATGTCTCGATAGAAATAAATTTTCATTAATACTTTTATTGATTAACATGTCAAATGGGAAGATCAAATAATATTGAATCATTTTTTTTCGTTCAATATGTATAATTGCACGCTAAAATAATATTAAATGGGTATCAAATATTCAAGAGAAAAATTTGCTGAAGGTGAGAAAATTTTTTTCTCAGCTGAAGTAAGTGGCGCTGCTTCCCTAAAGTATCTAAAAATCTTGATCAAATATAAAAATTTATTGTATCAAGTATTTATAATAATTTGAATTAAGAAAAAATTACTTCCACCAAGAATAGGATTTCAAGAAAAATTTTTATTTCGGCCAACACAACTTTGGTCTTCCTTCAGGCACCCGAAAATTTTCTTAAGCCAAGAATTTTGTTCTCCAGTCAAGAAATTTTTCTTTTTGAACAGAAAAAAAGGTTCATTTGAGCCAAGAAAATATTTTTCTTCCTAATTATTTTTTTGAGGGAAAAAAAAAATTTTTTGACACAAGAAATTTCACTTATTCTAACAAAATTAATTCTCTTCCTTTAAGAAATAAGTATCTTGATACAAGAAAATTTATTTAAGTCAAGAAAATCTTCTTGTTTTAAAAAAATTCAGCCTCTTACTCCAAAAAATTTAGGTTTTGATAAAAGTAAATTTTCTTGTCTTGAGAAAATTTCTCTCTTGCTCCAAAAAATTAAATATAAAGATAGAAGTAAATTTTCATTAATATTTTTATTGATTAACATGTCAAATAAGAAGATCAAATAATATTGAATCATTTTTTTTCGTTCAATATGTATAATTGCACGCTAAAATAATATTAAATGGATTGAAGTAGGTGACGCTGCTTCTCTAAATTATCTAAAAATCTTGATCAAATATAAAAATTTATTGTATCAAGTATTTATAATAATTTGAATTAAGAAAAAATTACTTCCACCAAGAATAGAATTTCAAGAAAAATTTTTACTTCGGCCAACACAACTTCGATCTTTCTTCAGGCAACCGAAAATTTTCTTAAGCCAAGAATTTTATTCTCCAGTCAAGAAATTTTTCTTTCTGTGTATATAAACCAACATTTATAAATTAACGTATGCACTGCGTATGAATATATGCATGATATGTGAATGTAGTTAGACAGTTCATGGAGATGTGATATATGCATTTATAATGTATTCTCTCGCGTCTAGATATGCGTAACATCTGGCGTGACAGGTCGAGTCAACGCTAGAACCAAATGTATACCATCAGAGTTCGTCGAACGGCATCTGTTACACTCAATCAATCGAACTCTCAACTCTAAACCTATCTCATATCACCCATCAATTCTGACTATAACTATATACTCTCTATTATCGCTCTATCTCATTACACATTCAACTGTTCGACACGAATGTGTTGAACCAATAAAGATTTAATCAACTGAAACAACAACAGCAATACCAACAGTACGAAGACAATAAAAACAACGTTTACAGTAGATACGTACTAGATTCATCGGTAATTGAATCCTCTAAATCGTCATCATCGGAAATATCTTGATCACTTCCTGTGTCGTTATCCAATAGACGATCCCCTTCAAATTCAGTGTCGGTATCGATGGCCAGCTCATCTGGAGTTGGATCCAATAATTGTTTCACTAATGTTGCATTCTGCCGTCTTGCTTCACGGGCTTTCGCTTCGGCAATCGACTCGGGAGTCTCCCGACGGCCTGATGATTCAATCAAAAATGTATCTGGCCATTTGAATTTAGCTCGCCTGCCGTGTTTATTACTGAAATAAATCACATCATCTATTTTATTCAGAGAATAAGAAAATTTTTTTTTCCAGGATAGTCATATGATAAGATCGGTTTTTTTTTTTTTAGTGAAATTTAATGTAATTGCAATGGTCTTGTAATTGCAAACCTTTTCAAGGTTTCATTTTATTTTCACCGATAATTAATTTATTATGATAAGTATTTAGACTGCATTCGAAAATGCTCTATCTCTAGATACATAATTAAGAAATGACCTTTTATCTTGTGAAATATTGACATTTTTAAAGATATAAGCTCATCCCGATGTTACACTCGTCGAGAGCTTTCATTTGAGTACCCACATCAATTTTTCATATATTTTATATATTTATATATATGTATATATGAAAAATATATCAAAAATGCAAGTGGGTACTCAAATAAAAGCTTTTGACAAGTGTTACATCGGAATGAGCTTATATCTTTAAAAACGTCAATATTTTAGAAACTGCAGTGTAATTTAATAAAAGTCATTATTTGTCAATGACTTTAGTCATTAAAAGTCAACAAATATAAATAATGCTGTGAAGCGGGAAAGAATAGGAGTTACGGATAATTATTACGTGAAACGTTCTAACATTCACGTAACAGGATAATTGGTAGGAAAGGATTGAGAAAGGATTGTGGAGAGGATCATCTTAATGTGAGTTTATAGAATATGCGAGAAAAAATTATTAGATAGCTCGAACTGGGATTCGAACCCAGAACCTTCCGAAGACATGTCGGCTACTCTACCATTTGAGCTATCCGGTCTATACTAAATTTCCTTTCACTTATTCTATATACATTAAGCCACACCGTCCATCTTACGGCTAGCATTTTTAACAAATATAAATAATTTAGTGAAGCAAAATTTTCATTTTTTATAGTTCACAAGTCACGGCAAGATTGCTTGTTAAAATTAATTAAAAAAGTATATTAAATAAATGATTAGTTTTTAAATAAAATATTAAGGATAATTACGTCAGGAAAAGCTTTTTAAAAGATCTCCCGTCCATTTGAGGCGGCGTATCCACTCCAGCGATGTCCAAAAAAGTTGGCGCCATATCGATATTCAAAACTATTTCGTCGACTCTGAAATGTCATTAAATTTTATCTCTATTAATTAAATACTTATCCATTTTATTTTATTACTTTACTTTTCTTTGCCTTTGGGCGTACCGGCGCTTTCTTAAAAGGTGAGTATCAATTTTTTTTTTTTAATATAAAAAGTTAATGCGCGGATAATTTCGTTTGAGAAAATCTTATATAGTTGGACAAAATGATATAAAAATATATATATATATTTTTTTTAATTTTATTTTTTATAATCGTCTCAACTCTGTCTAGATAACGTTTAAGGCTTTGCGTCGGCACTCTGCCAGCAAGGAAAGATAAATGAGAGAGTGCTAGTCGAAAAGCGGTAGTATTAAAAGTAGACGTAGAAGAAGGATATTCAGAAAGCCGATTTAAAGCGCAGTATAAAATTTGTCTGCCAAAATTCATTTATTTTTTATATTTATTTTATATTCAAGGTATATATATATATATATATATATATATATATATATATATATATATATTTTTTTTTTTTTTAATCTTTTTACGTTCAATTCAGGAAATGTTGCCGTAGATTAAATTTTGTATACGGATTCTTGATATATATAAAAAGAACCGAAAGATGAACTTTGAATCTATTTTTTTTTGTCTTTTACAACTACCTAAATGAATGTTTATCTTCGTAGTTAAACAATTTTTTTAAATCTTTACAAACTGTTGCTTTTTTTTTACAATACTTGTATAACCAATTAAAAAATAACAAACGAGTTTAAAAGAAAAAATGATAAAATAAAATAAGAATAAAGTTTTTGAATAAAATGATACCGTAAAACTAGATAGTTAGAAGTTTTGGATTGTACCAATTAGTACGGATAGCGAGAAGTACAAGTAAAACTTTTTGAAACACTGAAATGGGGATTTCGAGGGTAAAGAGAGAGAAAAATACTGGAGAGTTGTCTATAGCTCAAAATGAAATAGAATAGAATAGAATAGAACAGAGATATATGAAATGAATAATAAAAGAAAGAGCGAGAATGAATAAACTGGCTGGTTGATTTTCGACGAGTAGCACGAGCCCGTTCTTTTCTCTTTCTCTGTCTAGAACCTACAAACGAGAAAGCAGCTGGTAAATTAATTTGGCTAAATTTAGCTGCCAAACTCAGTGCGGAAACTACGCTGTATTAAAGTTGACGTATCTCTCTCTCGTAAAACAGGAAATAATATTTTGTTCTGAGCTGGTGTTTCTCAAACATTCTGCGTAATTTGTATGTGACTATGTCTTTTCACTTAAATATTACGCAACATATATTATTATTTTTTAACTTTCCGCTAAAAAAAAAAATTGAAAATTTTCAAAAATTGGGAAATTATTCGTTTTACCCCGTTGTGTGTATGATGGCCGTATGCAAACCTCTCATAACTTTTGAACGGCTTGACCGATTTCATTGCAGTTGGCGCCATTTGAAAGAGCTTGACCAAACTTAGCTCCAAAAACTAATCAGCTCTTAACATCAAATAACCACGTTGATTGCCGCCAGCCCGGTCAAAATCGGTTGATTCGTTCGTGAGTTATCGTTAACGAAAACAATCGAAAAAAATGATTTTTTCAAAATTTCTATGTAATTTTCAGTCTGGCTAGTTTGAGCTCTAAAATTTTTTAAAAAGCTCAAAAACCTGCGTTGGATGGCGTAAGTAGTGTTTTAATAAACTTCTCTCAGACACATAAATAAATGCTCAGATTATTTAAAATCCGTTCTTATTTAATATGTTTTTAATCATATGTTTAGAAAGTAGTTAAGGTTAGACACGCGGTTGCTAATAGTGTGCATATTAAATAAGAATATTAATTTATTGTTGACAATAATTGCCATATTTCCAAATGACAATTATTGTTTCGTTAATCCTTAGTCACATGGACTCTTGGATAAAATTTAATTTACGGATCATATTTTTCCATGCGACTGTAATACAGCGCATATTTATTTGGACTTTGATGTCTATATAGAACTATTCGAAGACCCCTGATGAAGTTGAGAGTATCAACGAAATGTTGCGGAATTTGATACAAGTTAGACATCAAATAAATCACGGATCTTAAATAACCTTAGCATTTATTTATTTATTTATTGGCTGAGATCTGAATATTAAATATTTCCTTCTATCAGAGTTTTGAAGAGCTCAAAAGCATAATAAGTGTAATTTTGAACGCTTAAGTATGGAATTAGCGCGAAGTTGCAGGGATGACCTTTAGGGTCAACCGATTTTCCTATTTTTTTTTCTTTAAACCAAACTTACACAGATCCAGGTGCAATTCCAGGACCACGAATAAGACACGGCACACGTACATCAAACTCAAACGGAAAACTTTTTCCTTTAATGAGCCCGAACTGACCCAAATGATAGCCATGGTCGGATGTATAAATAATATACGTGTTGTCGAGTTCTCCGAGATCCTTGAGCTCTTGGTAAATCTGTAAGTCAAGAGGTCATTAAGTTACTTATTTTCTAATCATATAAATGATTTATAGCCTATAGATTTATAGTAGAGAAAAAAAAAAAGCCAACCCTCTCAACAGCGGCGTCGACACTCTGAAGTGTTTGCAGCCTCTTAGTCATCAGTAAATCTGTGAATTGTTTATGAATCGGCCGCATCTTCTGGGTTACCTGCAAAATCCACTGCTTGTCCAGATTTGGAGCATAATCATAAGCTGGAGTGCTGAAAAAAAAAAAAAATAATAATGAGTATTAAAATAATATAATGAGTACGGAATAATGAAAAGTTTATTTTTCAGAGCGGTATTAAATAAGCTCAACATTTCCCGAGTAGTTTTATCATTTATTTTGATTTTTTTCAGCAACTTTTTTATGAGGGCACTTTATCTAGACATTGGACAGGCTGTCTAGCTTCACCACAAAGCTCTTTGTCTACTTCACCGTACCATGGCTTACATTCTCACTCGGACTTGACGCACATCACACCCCAGAAACAAAGCTCTACATAAACACGCATGGGACAATAAAAGCAGCGATTATTATGCGAGTATTGGTAGCGGTAGGGAGAAAAATACTTAGAGCAGTAGTAATACATCTATAGAATAGAAAAAAAAAAAAATAAAAAGATATGAAAAGTAATTCACAACTCACTGATGGGTAGTGACATTGAAGAAGAGTTGGGAAAATTGAGGCGCTGAATCTTCGGGTCCATGAGGTGCTGGAAAGCTTGCCACAAGCATAACGGGCTTCCGTGCAAAATTGTGCTTGCTCTGACGTAAAAATGCGACGCTGTCATTTGCTATCAAATCCGGATAATAGTCCTTGCTGTACTCAAAACCGTGCTTTATCTTCTTTCCGTTCATATTGACGCTGTAGTTGTAGTACCGTGAGTTCATTATAAGGCCACCCCATTCACGCCAACCCGGGGGAATATACGAGCCATTATACTTGTTCAGATATTTACCAAAGTAGCCTGGAACAGATTTACAAAAAGAGAATTGTCGTTACCAAATTTTTTTTTTTTATTCAATTCTTGAGGTGATATCCCTCAGACACTTTTCAATTTGAATGGACCATGGCGATGAAGGCCAACAAAGGCCACGAAATATAAATGGATGTAACCTGTAATATATATAACGAGACTTTATGAAGCTGACTCTGACTCTCAGTTGGTATAATATAACGAGAGTTACAAACCCGGGTCATATAGTGTTTTCTCTCCTTCTTACTTGTGTCGAGTTTTATTCTTCCTTGAGCTCAGCTTCGAGTAGAGTAGAGTAGAGTAGAGTGTGCTGTAGATTTTTATCACGGCTCTTTTTTTTTTTTTTTTTTTCTCATTTTGTTGCTTACCCTACGGCCAATTTCACCCAACACACTCGCCCGTTGTTGTCGTCGTCATTCGTCTCCTCGTTTTCGTCGTTCTTTGTTAATTTGTCTCACTTTAACCACTCGAGACGAGACTTTTGACACTTTTACTTTGGCGCCAGTACAAAACGTCACGCGATATTAATTAGACTATTTAATTAACGTTTAAGTAATTAATTTTGTTTTTGGGTTTAACATAAACGCCCAGATAAATTTACTCCACCCTAATACTAATAAGCAACCCCATTTAATAATAATAACAATTGTAACTTCTTTAATTAAGTACTTTGAATTAATTAGGGTGATAAATAATATTAATTTACTACAAACCTGTACGGTATCCCGCGTTGCTCAAGTAGGTAGCAAAAGTATGTGGTTCGTGATCTCGCTGCCACTGTGGGCTGCTGCAATTGTCATTATTAGTAAAGACTTGATGATTATGAACATAACGGCCAGTTAAAAGAGAACTTCTACTTGGACAACACATGGGTGTTGTAACATATGCATGCCGTAACTCTGCGCCTTCATCTCGAATTCTTCTTAAGGTATTCGGCATAAAATTAAGCGACCCTATTTAAATACAATTAATAATAATCATTTTATTTTGCAATATAATTATTGTGGATGGAAATTATAAGTTTTTAATTTATTAAGTATGGTTGAAACACGGAAAAAAAAGAGGAAAATTACATTATATATAATATAAATGGCGCTTCGTGTAAGAAACTGGAAAAATTACAATTTCAGATTGTAATTATTTCAGATTTTGTAAGAATTACATTGTAAAATGTAAATGTTATACACGGAAAAAAGTAAACTGTAATAAATAACAGTCGATTTATAATAAGTAATGATCTAATGATCAACTGCTGAAAATTACCATTTCAAACAGTAAAATCGTGATTTTACTGTTCACTTTATAATATTTACCATTTAAACGTTACAATTTATTCTTTACATGGAAGAAAATACTATTTCAAACAGTAATATTCGCTATGTAAATGTCTAAAATATTTAAGTATAATAATTAAGAATTTAGATTTTGATATTTATCATTTCGTACCTAAAAAATGATCTTGTGATATGTAAAAAGTATAAAATAAAGTTAGTAAATTTCTAATACAAGCAACGTCAATATTTACAAAGTAAAATGGTAAATTTTAAACGCAACGCTAAAAATCAAACTGTAATTATTGACTTGCTTGGACTGGTAAAATGTATATTTTAAAAGTATAATTTTTACTGTTTCAAATGTTAAATTCTCCCAGAGTAAGACCTCCTTCTCTTTCATTTGAGTTCGCCTTCTCCTCATAATATGGACTATACATTGAAATGGCAATTTTTACTGTTTGAAACTGTAATTTTTTAAGATGAAAGAGTCGTTATTTACTATAGTGACAGCTACTATTCACTTATTTTGGATATTAAATTATAAATTGTGGCTTTTATACTTTCTACATTAAGTTCTGTAATATTTATATTTTTGCCACCCCGATGTCCGCTTTACTGTTTGAAACTATAAAAATTAACCGGAATCCAAGTGAATATTACAGTTTACTTTTTTCCGTGTATTGAAAGCTCTGAAAATTAACATTGAATTTATAAAAATGTTATTTCGAACTGCAATTTTTCTAGTTTTTTATATGAAGCTACGCTTATTACTCTATTTATAATGTAATTTTTCTTTTTTCCGTGAAATTATATAGCATTTCAAGCAATTTTAATATTTCTCAGAAAATTCAGAAGTAAATTTTTTAAAAATCACAGAGAAAGTTCAAAAGTTTATATTTAAAAACTATGAATAAAAAATTTTACTTTTTATAATATTTAGATAAATTCTAGGTTTCTGAAAAGTTTATTTTTTGCTAGTATTTATTTAGAAAAAAAGATTTGAGATCAAATAAATATAACAGATCTTTACTACTTTTTTTTTTACCAAAGGTCGGAAAACTTACACTCTAAGTTTTAAGCAAGAAACACATTAAAAAATTCTCGAACATAAACAAGAATTTAAAATGTTGTGAATCATTCCAGAAAGTTATAAAATTGTTAAGAGTATTTTAAAACACATTATACCGTCTGTAGTTTCCAAAGAAATAGAAAACCGCTCAGAAGTCAAATAAAATAAAATAAAAACTTTAGTAAAAAACTAAACATTTTGTGTAAATAATTTTCTAATAGGTACAATAAATAGTTTAAATACATACCGAGTTCAACATCTTGATCATCAGTGAGTATCAATACAATATTAGGTTTTCTTTCCCGTTGATAATTCGGCAAAAATGGAGAATTATGCTGCTGCTGACTATTGTAATTAATATTAGAATTTGAATTTATATTAAAATTACCGCGTGTACGTTGACCACCGAAAAGATCTTCGTTTAATATTTCATCACGCCGAGCGTTCGATCCAACCACCACCGCGAGTAGCAGCAGCTCAATTGCCTGAAGCAATACGTGCATTCTGCCAACACCAATGATGATTGATTTTTACCTCATATTCTTCAAAGTCCTGCAATAAAAAATTTAAATTAACTTAATTGCCTTGTTAAAAAAAAAAAAAAAAAAAAAACAATTGTAATAATTTATAAGTGTAAATGTGTGAAAAATATTATTTTTAGAGCCAAGCGTGGATTTTAATAATAAAAACTACGCATCTTATGGAATTACGCATCAAATTTTTATTCTATAGAATTATGTAGTGTCGAAATAAATAATACGATATAAAAATAAAATGTAAATTATTAAAATAATAAGTTTAAAACAATAAATTTAACTTGAGAATTATCGTGCTCACATTTTATTAGTACTAAGTACTAATATACATATTTTAAAAATAATTTAACGCTTTAATGAGAAAATTACACGGCACCGGCAAAATAAAAAGGTCGCTGAGATTTATAAAACTTTTAAAACTACTCTTTAAACAATTTAAAAAAGAAAAAAAAAAAACACTTTACTTTAAATTGACTGTTTTTTTAACTGAATTTTTTCTAAAAATAAAAATATTATTTACATAAAATAATTTGCATTTTTAAAAACTAAAAGGATCGAAAGTCGTTTTAAATAGAAAAAATAACTGAGTGTAACAAAAAAAAAAAAAAAAAAAAAAATTTACACTTGAATTTAAAAGAACCCGATGGTGGTGAACTTGAGGATGAGGACGACACCAAAGTCCAGTGCTCTTAAAAATTAAACACAAAAGGATTTATACAATAACTGTCGAGGCGAGCGTAGTGCCGGGTATTAAATACAGTATGTATATCGTAAAATGAGTCGACTAAAAGAATATTGTAAATCGGATTGCTGAAAATGGCATTGAAGGGACGTCCTCGGCGGTCTGCTGACGGTGTAGTATCTACCCAGCACAGGCTCTTCCTCCTTGCCTCGACGATTCGAGGATGTCAGGTAAGGTACTTACGGGGAACAAGAGGTATACGAACCGGTCGTCGGTTGGCCAATGCAAGACAGACAAGAGAAAAAAAATGAGAGTGAAAGACCAAAGTGGGTATAGAAGAAAAAGCTTTAGAGCGAAGAAGACAGACCGATGGATTTAGACCGACATGTAGAAGGAGATAACCATTATATATATTGTACAAAAGTATCTTCAGTACAGTGATACTGGTGCCGCAGCATAGCATTCCACGTGCCTCGTTCTCTGCACTCGTTTTTACCAAATTGCAATTTGATGATGTTCCAAAGTATCAAGGCCTTCATCAACACGGTACGCGCCATTTATTATTGGTCATAGAACAAGGCTATTCCTTCAATCATTAATTTACATACTAAATTTTTACGAGAAATATTATCTTCCTGCTGTATGAATTTTATACGGTAAAAACAGTATAAATACTAATAACCATAATTAGAAAATTTTTTTTTTAATTAGGATTTTTTTATTAAGGATTTTACTGAAAGTCTTTGGACTTTTTTTAAATTGATTTATTTTACTCTACACTGAGAAAAAAAAATACTTTTACTCAATTAACAATTTCTTGGTTCAAGAAATTCTATGACGATCGAATATTCTATTATTAATTATTAATTTCTTAACACAGAAAAAAAAATTAATTTGAATCAAGAAAAAAATTCTTGAACCAAGAAAATAATTTTGAAAAGTTAAATTGTTTTGATTCAAGACGAAAAATTCTTAAATCAAGTAAAATTAACTTAAACAAAGAAAAATATTGTTAGCTTAAGAATTTTTCTACTCAAATCAAAAAGATCAAATTCTTCAAAATTATTTACTTGATTGAAGTAAATTTTTTTTCTGTGCAGAAAAGAGCATCAATATTTATCTTTAGATAATAGATAAACAAGAGAATAGCTTTATTTAAATTAAGTAAAAATTATTTTCTGCCCTCCGGCCGGAAAGTGGCAACTTTCTGGCCGCTGCGCTAAACAAAGTTGCCACATTCCGGCTACGTCGAGCAGAAAAATAGTATACACACCTTGACCAATAAAAAGTAAAGCCTCAGACCACATGTTTGTCAACCTCGGCTTCGCCTCGGCCAACAATTACATGTGGTCTGAGACTTTTCTTATTTTACTGGCCTAGGTATGTAATATACTGTGGGAGTATTTTTCCACTCTCGAAAATTTTTCGTCAACCACTGTACTCTCTGGGCCATAAAATCCCTTCCCCGGCATTCAAGGGGCTCATGACATCACGGGACCCCAAGAACAACGCTGAGTGTTAGCAAAGGCTAACACCCTCAAGAGTCAAGGGGCATGAGGCAGATTTTCCTCAGCCTCTGAGACACACACATCTACGGTCTAGGACACTGGTCCTATTTTCCTTTATGTTACTTATCGTATTATTGTAATCGCGAAGTACTATCTTGACATTATTATTTATACACGAACTATCTATTGTATCATTTACTGATAACTATATTCTACGGGATTGATTATTTATTGTGAGATTTAATTAACTTCATTCGAATATTGTAAAGAGTATAGTTATAACTTGAATAAATTATAAAACTAAAGAAATGGATTACTACAATACTATTCAATCAATTTAACAAGTTCTTGAGCTGAGAATATATATTCTTGAAAATTTTCAAGACATGAATTTTTGTATCAAAAAAATGTTCTTAATTAAAGTATTTTTTTTTTTTTGAGTGTATAATGAAAGTTTTGAACAACTATGAAAAATTCTCAAAACAAAGATATATTACACAGAAAAAAAATTGAATCAAGTAAATAATTTTGAAGAACACTAGCTTCTTGATTCGAGTAGAAAAATTTTTAAACTAAGAAATTTTTCTTGACTTAAGTAAATTTCACTTGATTAAAAAATTTTTCGTCTTGATTTAAAACAATTAAACTCTTTAAAATTATTTTCTTGGTTCAAGAATTTTTTTTTTTATTCAACTCAATTTTTTTTTCTGTGTAAGTAAAAAATTTTTCGTTCCATTACTTCCAGCAGAAAGAAAAATAATCCTTCCTCCGTACTTTGTTCTTCAAGCCGCAATTACAACGAAACGATTAGATGTACGTTAAAATACCAGATTTTTTTTCTATACAAAAAATTCAATTATCTGGTAAACTATTTATACTTTTTATATGTTTTTATAGTAATTAAACACCAAAAACTTCCTGGCCTTACTCATGAATTATAACTTTATTTATTTCGCCCCAATTTTTCAAAACTTTTAATTAAAATTCAGTTTTTTTTTTATAAAAAAAAAACAATATATCCTTTATTTAATTAACTACAAATAATTGCAATAAAATAAAAATTATTCATGATATTTATTGTCGAGAACATTGCTATTTTTATTACAAACTTTAAAATATTTCGCTAAAATATTCAAGTGTAAGCATAAATATTACTCACACTCCAAATGACTTTATTAATTATATATGTGAAATTTTTTCTACACATTTTTATCCATTGAAACCACATTAATAATCCAGATTAGATATATTGACAATGTTCGATAATTTAAATTAATGGTTAAAACCTTTCTACTTATACTAAGCAAACTTTTCTTCTTGATTAAATTTTTACCCAATCTAAGTCCCAATAAATCATCCATTCGTATCAGTTAACTTTTAAATACCTTATGCGTGCGATTAATCTTACATACTATTAATATGAGTAGGCATTAAAGGTCTATCGGTAAGTAGATATGTTTAAAATATAATAGCAATGTCGAGATTTATAAATAACAATTGTTATAGACGAATGAGCATAACGACAAATGATTTAATGTTATGTAGCAGTTAATAGCGGCGATACACGTAAACGTGCCAAACATTAAACGGAATAACAACCGAGCTATTGTTTCGATCATTCAGGTCATGTTTCAGCGTACATTCCAGTACACCAGAGATAACACGTCATATCTTGCCTTAAATAACGGTTTTACATACGTAATATCTACCCGTGTACTATTGCTCTAGTAATAGTAGTGATAATAATGACAACAACAATTAGTTTCAATTTAGTTTTCATTTTTTGTCCCGCTATTATTGTGTAAATAATTAAAAACTTTAATACAATAAAATAACTTTACTTTATAAACTTTTAACTTTTACAGATAAAAGTGAATTAATTATCAACATCACAAGTGTATCCGTAACAATTTCTTATCTTCTTGATATTCAAATTCTTTTTCATCTATTTTATTAATTTTTAGAGTTTTAAAAAAGTTTGTTAATAATGAATGAGTTAATTTTGTAATTTAAAAAAAAAAACTCAAGCTTTGAGACTGAAAAATAATATTCAAAAAAAAGAGAAGTACTTTTTGTTGTATTAATATTAAAAATAATTTTTCTATATTAGTTTTGTGTTCAAAAATTCATGCCGAAAAATTTATTTTACCTCTAAAATATCACCAGTAAAAATTATTTTTAACATCGTTTATAACTCTATTCTACAATTCTATTCTTTTCTTCAGGTAAGAATTCGAATTGAGACTCAAATTTTAAACTCAGGTTCTATTATCCATAAAAGTAATTTTTCAAGTGCTCTTTTTCAGTGTTGAAATATTCATTGTATAACCTGACTGACCTTTTAAGCGTTTTACAATAATTATACTGAAAATTAATGAAATTTCAACAATTTTTTTACGAAACCTACTCAATATAATTTACCAATTTATCTTATACATTCACACCAATATTAAAATAATTATTATAAATTATTAGCTTATACTAATTCTAATGAAAGAATTACTTCTAATGTCTAATAAATAATTCTGATACTGTTCCAAAAAATATTAAGCTGCCTAATTTTTAAAGTTCTGCATAAAATTTTTTATTAAGTCACTCGAGTCTTAAATTAATAATTTTTATTTTATCTATTTTTTAATTGGAAATTAAAACCAATAAAAATTTTTAATTGCTTTAATTACTGAGGATGTAATAAAAGTCTTATGAAAACCTAAAATAAATTTTTTAACAACGTATAATTTACTTTTTAATGTTGACATAATAAATAACAATAAAAC